CATAGGTTATCCAGGACATGCGATAAAATGGCGGTTGTAATGAGTGAACGGTTCATGATAAAAAGTGGGGGAATTCGATCGTTATTCTATTCTCCATTGGTGTCATACACGTCTGGACCAGTCACCAAGAGAAAAATGGTATACCTTATTGACAACAATAAAACCTTCAATTATTATAAATAACTCTGTTTCGCATTCATCTCCGAATTTTGAGGTTGTAATTCTGTCTTCTGATAGTGAAGAACTCCGAGAAACGGGAAACACCTGCTGATGTTTCGAGTTGTGAATGGAGGAATAAATTTTATTTTGGTTAGACTATTTTAATTGTTAATGGAATTTTTGTGGATTATTTTAAGGGAAAATTGACAAGTGAAGAGAAAAAATCACTCCAGATTTTGAAGACTGGGTGGAGCCTTCAGGAGGACAGGGATGCTCTCTACAGGGAATTTAAATTCAAGGACTTCAATGAGGTAATTAGGATTGAGAAATCGTGTCACATGTTCTCGATTAGAGTGGAATGGATTTCCACGAGAATGTGGAAATCCGGAACGCCTTTGTCGATAATTTTTCATTCAACAAGAAAATTCCTCCAGGAATCCCTGAGATTTCCTTAAATATCTTGGAATCTGAGAGAGATGACGAGATTTTTATAGAAACCTTTTTTGAAGGTTTTATTCAGTTGCCCAAAAAAGGTTCTATGAAAAATTTTGATTATGCTTTTGGATTCTGAGATATCAGGGAAAATGTGGATTGATTTTTTTTCACGACTGTTTATATTTCAGGCATTTGGATTTATGACGAGAGTAGCTCTTAAAGCAGACAAAATGGATCATCATCCCGAGTGGTTCAATGTTTATAACAAAGTCAACATTACATTGACATCCCACGATGTCAATGGAGTATCTCACAGGGATGTCAAGCTCGCTGAATTCATTAACGAAATCACAAGCAAATCTGTGACTCAATAAATTGCAACAAATCGGGCGATTTTATTTCTCTTCAATTTCTATCAATTTGAATATTCCAGATTTATATTTTTATGTTTGTTTACAGAATATTAAAAAGAGAGGACAATAAATGACACGTAATCATAATTATTAATCATCAATCATTTATGTTTAAATTCATTTTTGTCGTTTCAGATAATTAAATACAGGAAATTACATTCGAAAATCACTAACTTGTCAGCTGTTCCATTTTTCATCCGCTAAAATAAATACGAGACCATAAAATACCATTAAATGTGAACAACAGTTCATAAATCGTTATATCAATCGCCTTCTGGGGACTGATATATAAAAAGGCGGAAAGTCTAGTCCAGCACAGACTAGAAATTTTGAAATTCATCATTGAAGTTCTAGTATTTAAATTGAAGTCATGAATTCTGGAAAAATAATTCTCTTTATAGCAGCAGTAGCTCTCAGTTGTGCTTCTGTGGCATACGCAGCACTACCCCATACTATTCTCCGTCAAAAAAAATAAAGGTAATCCTGATTGTTAATAATTTTCAGAATTTCCAACCTAAAAAAAAAATTCGTAAGAAAAAAATGATTTATTCTTCTTTTTTCACAGATTTTTTATTTCTCGAGCCATGAATTTTTGGAAATAACAATCTTGTAATTATTATGATAATTATTTGGATGAATAAATTATAAAAAATGAGAAATAACAAAGTCTATATTTCGATTATTTATTTTCTCCTGAATTTTTCAGAGTTGAACAGAAATTGTAGATAAATATTTTATTCCTATAATTTTATTCGATATTATTTCACATAATCTTCATATTTACGTCGTTGTAATAATTGTTGTTTTGCGGCAAATGTCCAGAAGGAATGACAGGTCGAGTGAAACAACCTGAGGATTGACCCACCCCCAGTCACCAGGGGTGAATGCTATTTTCTGCTTTACGAAATTGGTATTCACTGAAATTTTTTCCCCCCATGTGACCCTTAACCAAATCCAATTAACCCTTAACCAAGTTCAATTAACCCTTAACCAGATCGACTTAAGCCTTAACCAAATCCAATTAACCCTTAACCAATGTTTTTTGCAAAAAATTTGAAAATTTTAACCCTTATGACTGTCATGTTCTTTTAACACTCCTTCTTAAGGGTTAATTGGATTTGGTTAAGGGTTAAATGAGTCGGTTGGTGGTTAATTGGATTGATTAAGGGTTAAATGGATTTGGTTAAGGGTTAATGGGATTTGGTTAAGAGTTAATTGGACTTGGTTAAGGGTCACATGTGATCAAAAAATTTAAGAGGGTCTACAAAATTTTTAAATTCCAGTGAATACCAATTTTGAATCTTGAATAGTGTATCCCTTCCGCGCCATTTACGCGCATCTTCAATTCCTCCACTATTTACTCCTCATTATTTCGTGGTATTTAAATACATTTGACAAAGCCCTATAATGGAGAAGTACGTAGCACATCATATCGTTTTCATGTTACTTACGACTGAGAGTATTAATTGTATTATGTTGTACTTATTAATGATTTGAAAACAGATTGGAAAATTGTGAGGTATGTGCAAAAATGACGGCCAAATACACTTGTCCCAAGTGCGAGGTTAGAACATGCAGTCTCACGTGTGTAAATATCCACAAGAAAGAACTCGACTGCGATGGAATACGTGATAAAACAAAATTCGTCCCCTTGAATAAATTCACTGACTTGGACCTGCTGAGTGGTAATTAAATTTCCTTTTTCTTCATGTATTCATTTATCGCTCGATAACTCACCTGATTATTCCAGATTATCGGTTGCTTGAAGAAGTGGGAAGATCGGTCGATCAACTCCACAGGGATGAATCTAAAAAATACGGTCGATTTCGCAATTTACCAACAGTACATATGCCTCAGTGACACATAATTGTATTATTACTTTCCAATCAATCAGTTCTAAGTAAGATTTTTTTCTACAGCATTTACATAAATTAAGACAGGCAGCATTGAGGAGCAAAGTACAACTGGAATTTATGCCATACAATTTTTCTAGACACAAAGAAAATACAACGTTTTTTAATTGGAAAAGTCATGAATTATTTTGGAGGATTGAGTGGATATTTCCTCAGGCTGGAAATACTAAGTGGGTGACACAAAGAGCTCTTGAGACTTCACGGATATCAGATTTGTTAGATAATATACTGGACCCATTAATTTGTAATGAAGCCAGTGCTGATGACATGACTCAGAGAAAAGTACTCGCTGATAAACTTCAGTTTTATCGTTCCTCTGGTCTAAGCGGAATTAAAGCACTCCTAAAGGCTGAGAAAGTCAAGAAATCAGATTCTAGATTTTACGAACTCGATATCACAGACAGTCTCAAGGAGAATCTAGCCAATAAAACGATCATCGAATTTCCCACGATCTATATTACTCTCAAGGATCATGCAGACATGTTTGAAATTATTGATTCAGGTATTGTATCTGGATTAATTGATTTTATAAATAATTTAACTTGTTCTCTTTATTGCAATAATTAATTTTTCGTTTATGTATTAATTGTGCTCAGATGCAGAAAAAGAAGAGCCAGAAGAAAAATCAGATGAGTCGATGAGTAATTGGAAAAATAGGAGAAATAATCGAACAACTAAAAACATCCATCATGATCGTAAAGTAAAGAAAGAAGAGAGTCCTGTAAATTTTTTCTTCAACAACAACACCTCAGATTCATCAGATTCCGAAAATAAATAAATGGATCAGAATTGATGATGACAGAATAATTATTTTATTACATGTTTATTTTCCACTTTTATTAATTAAAACATATTTTCTCGTCAATAACTGTCCACAAAATTGCCGTGAATACTAAATACAATTGAGTCTCCAGTATTAATGATTGGCTATAGCAAAATTAATTGATCATCCATTACCCGCTCATCACACATCACAAATATCTCCAATATCTTTGAATAATATATAAACATACCGGATATTCAGTCTCTCCAATGTTATGAGAGACTAAAGAATGAAGAAATACAAGAGGAAGACAAGGAATACAACTAGACCAGCGACTGCCTTCACGTACATTGATTTAATGTTCAGATAGGTTGCATTTTTTTTATATTTCTGGGAGAGCATCGAGAGATTTTGGGTCTTCGTATCAAGTTCTGTAACAAATACGATTAAATAATTACCGTTTTATCAATATTTTTTAACCAGATAAATTAATTGATTAAATACACAAAAGTACCTGATAGTACTGTACCCCTCTGCAAGACATCATCAATATTCTGAACCATAATTCTCTGTACATCCTGCAATTGACTATTCAGTGCATTCATATTCCTTCTGGATCGTCCATCCGAGTACGATTTCTTCGCTTTTTGAATATAAGTATCAAATTCAATAAACGTATAAGGTCGAGTGACAGTATTAACACGTTTTCCATATTGGGAGTGGAATTCTTGAGCGATATCCTCCAGGTAACTGTAGGCCAACCGTTTGCTCCAGTTTCTCTCGCACAGGACGAGATAGCACACGTCGTTCTCTATCAAGTAGCTATAAATGATGAATATTAAATGAATTAATCATCAATAATCAATGGAGTAATGAAAAAAAGGGTTTTTCTCACTGGAAAAGATAAGGCCCTGTTTCGATGGTGCATCTGACAGGTGACTGAGGCCCCAGCTTTCTGAATAACATCTTCGCTTGATTCTGATACTCTAAAATGCTCTTTCCACTCTGAATCGAAAGAGAGAAGATGGATAATTTTATTAGGAGAATAAAAATTATTGGGGATTATGTTAATATTAGTATTAACCTGCTCGTCCTCCTGCATGGTAGCTGCCAGTGGCAAACCATCTGCTATCCTTGCAATCATCGTGAATAAAACCATTTTTACTGATTGTTCGTGATGTCTCAACGGTATTGTCGAATTATTTGTGGGAAATACTCTGTCTAATCAAGCTGTCAACTCTGTTTTTCATGAAACATTCAGCATAATTACACTCGTACGATAGAGTTGACTGTACATGTAAAATCCACTGGCTATTAACCACGTCAGTTGTTCCAAATCATCTCCATCCCCAGATGGTCGAGGTGAAACATACTTTCTATCTCGATTCGGGCGATTCTCATGAGTATTTCTAGTGTTGATAAATTGAAATCAGTGGACTTTGAAAATGTGCACAAAAAGATTGACAATAAGAATTTATGAAAGTAGAAACGAAAATTTATTTGTTTGCAAAGTTTTTTCAGTTCTCAATATTTCTGGCTGGGCAGAACAAGTCGCCATCTAGTGATGACGAATTAAATTGAATTTAAATACAGCACAGATACATATATACATACAGTAACTTAACCTATATCAATTAATCCATAACAAATTATCTGCCCCTGAAAATAAATAATAATTCCCATATGTTTATCGCATAATAATTATTATGGGAATGGTGAATGTTACGAAGGGAATTTTAGTTGAGTGGTGAGTACAGGATATTTCACTCCACGTATTCCAAATCCTCTGGAATGCGGAATTGTTTGTTGAGGGTGTCATTTGAAATATCGAATTTATTTTTGCACCAGCTCTGGATTGAAAATATATTGTCTGTCCATACGTTGGCTGCTTCCTTGTATTGCTGTAATTAACGACAATTAAATAAATTATAATCATCCTAAAGATGTTAAATACCTTCGCTCGTTCTACGATTTTCTCAACAACTTCAGGATCGGAATCACTGAAATTTCCAATTTGCTTTATTAATTCAATTTCTTTTCGCTTCAACTGCTGGAGCTCTTGGATAATCGTCTCTCGTTGCTCATTTTCTTCCTTGTTCACCTTCATATATAATCAACAATTAATTAATTAATTATTAATTATATATCACGTCCTATTCTCTGTACTTGAATTATTTACCCCGATTTTTTCAATCTCTGCATTGAGTTTCTGCAATTTAAATTCTCCGGCCACAATTGCTTTATTAGACTCTGCAATCCGTTGTTCAACAGCGATAATTTTCTCTCTAACGAAAACAAAGTATAAAAAAAATAAATACGTCAGTGGATTGTTATTTTTTTTTTTTTCTGAGTAGAAAAATTATGAGAAAAGGTAATATGCACCCTGGAAATGCCCAGAAATAAATAGCAGATCCAATCTTGTCAGAATTAACGATTCCATCGTCCACCAGTGCCTGTAGCACATCTTTGACACTCTGGATGACAATTCCCTTCTCCTGTGAAGCAATTTTCTCAATCTCTTTGAGTGTAAAAAATTCTTGCTTCTCGTGAAATATCTGGAGCATACGTGTACGTTTTTCATCCAATGTGACACGTTTAGACATGATAAATTATATTTTCCAGTGATGCAGCGATGAAACAATTTCTTCTTCACTTGGATGAGACTTTTGCTCTAGGAAGAAAATTTATAATTCAAGATCTCGACGAGAAACATCTTTTTATATCAGCTGACATTTTGGAGACCCTGCAGGCTAAAGTGGATGATCTTATGGACCAAATATCTTTTCCACTGGCTGACAAGGGATTGTGAATAATTAACTGTATATAAATAAATACGAAAGACATGGCAGCGCGGGAGTCAGGGAGAATCAAGGATGCCTACCAGAAGAGGGTTCTTGATGATGCAGCAAGAAAAAGAAGACATAAAAAAGCACTCGAGGCTTTGGAACAGGATAATTTCCATGACGATCCCCATGCTGACTTAGGTATTCAATTATTTAATTCCTACCACGTGTAATAACCGAAAATTTCGTCCAGACACTTTTTTGAATTCAGCGATATCAATCGATAATTTTCATTATTGAGTTATTCAATTATTTTGAATATTGATAATTTTTTTCTTTGAATTTAGTAATGAGCAAGAAAGCCCCCAAGTTCCAAGAGTCCCTAGACGGCCGTGGCCCGAGAAAGAAGAAAACTCGTTCAGCTGAATACTACAAGCAACGTTTTCGGAAGAGCTTTGGACAATTAGTTGAGGAAGATGCCAATAATAATCCAGCTCCACCGAATTACTCGAGTGCTCAAGCACAACCATCAAAATTCCCCGAGAGACATTTTTGCGCTGTTTGTGGATTTCCCAGTAATTACACATGCATTCCTTGTGGTGCAAGATATTGCACTGTGAGATGTCTAGGTACACATCTCGATACAAGATGCCTCAAATGGACAGCTTAAAATTTTTTAAATAATTCCCCATTATCCAATAAAACATTAAAACATCATTTTACTCTCAGGCTTGAATTGTAACCTGTTTTTATTTACCTTGTTTCTTCTTGTCGTTAATTGTTGATGATTATTCAGCTGGGATGGTTGGTGTATTAGTATGTTGTGGTTAGGTTGATGTTTACTTTCTAAACATGAGTGTCGCCTTGAAGATGAGCATATAATGGCGCATTCTGATTGAATCCATCACATCAGTCATCAAGTCATCAACAATGAAACAATGACTGATGAAACAATGAATTTACCATCGGGAATGAGATGGCTGGCTAGTCAAGTTGCTGGACATCATTCGGATCTCACTAAAAATCGTATCAGTAAGTTTTTTTCATTATTCTGCTTAATGAGTAGTACCTAATTGAAGATAATTAGCACCTAATTAATGATAACTTGTGCTTAATTATTCTCCAATCTTCATCTAGGCATGATTGAAACAGATAATGGATGTGTCTTGAAAGCTGGACAGAGGGAAGATCTTCAATTGAGAGAGGTACGTAAAATAATTCATTTCCACTCTCTTTTCTATATTTACACTAAATGTAAGACTTAAATTATCTTAGGTATCATTCTATGAGAATATAAAAAATTCAAATGAATCTTTATATAATGAGTTATCGATGTTAACTCCAAAATATTATGGAACAAGAGAATTAGAATTAGGAGAACGAAGTAAGTTCTTTTCTGTAATTATAAAAATTGTTTGTTCCGTTGTTATTATGTTTGAATAATTCTTAGGAATTGAATTTATTATTCTGGAGGATATGACCGTGGGTATGACTGAGCCCTGTGTAATGGATGTAAAAATAGGTGAACGAACGTGGGATCCTTTGGCAACTAGGGAAAAACGAGCAGCCGAGGAAATGAAATATGTCGACTCCAAGAAAGCTTACGGTTTCTGTATCCCTGGCTTTCAAGTTTATGATCTATCTACGAGAAATTTAAGAAAATTCGGAAAAGATTATGGAAAAACATTAAATAAAGACACTATTGTAGACGGTACGTAGGATTTTGCATTATTCATGTGCTGCAGTAAATTTAGTATTATATCTCACGTGACATTTTCTCGTTTTGTCCGCCTTTTTTCAGCTTTCAGAATATTTTTGAATGCAGAAGATGACAGTAATAAATGCGGAATACTCCTAGAGAAATTGATAAACCGGTTGAATAAAATTAAGGACTTTTCCAGGAAGCAGAAGACTTTGAGATTTTATTCTAGTTCGATTTTGATTACGTACGATGCGAATTATCTGCGACGACGAGCCGAAGAATTGTCATGTTCTCCTGAAAATAAATCAAGTTTGACAGAAGAATGCGCCGAGGAAATGGACTGGGTGCGGGTACGAATGATCGATTTTACTCACATCTTTCCAGCCGAAGAGGAGACTCTAGATACCAATTACCTGAGAGGTATTACGAACCTCGTACAAGTACTTGAATCATTTCTAAAATAAAACAATTGGGATCGTTTCTTCTGGAATATACAAAATTCGTCACGCAAACTGATTAATGTCTAATAAATTTTATCTGATTCGTTAACTGTAATATGCACTGTGTTGGGTCCACTGCATTCTGTGTAAATAACCAGTGAATAATCCTTTGAATTAATTTATTTGAATATTTTTTTTTTCTTTCAATTATTTATTATTCTTGTTTACAATAATCACAGACGTTCGCCAAACGCAGTAGGCATGAAAATTAGTTTTACATAATTGCTATGTGGAATCTCGAGGGAGCACATGAAGAAATAAAAAAATCAAAAAGTTAAAATGGATGAATAAAGTATGTGCGTTGAAATAAATTTTTCTATATATTCGATCTCGATTTTTCAATGCCAAAAAAGAAGAAATAAAATGGGTGAAAAAAAAAGGAAAAAGTATCGGGAAAAATTATTAAATATTCAATCTATCGGGCCTAAACCAAGTGAAGTCGGCTTTTAGTATGCAATTGCCCTCGACTAGCGATCAACGAGGCCCTAAATAATCATTTCACTCATAGGCTAATAGTAATAATCATTATCACTCAATTAAAACATTAAATCGCATAATCTGACCCCTTTGCCTCCACCCTCGTTAGTTCAATCAGCAATTGATAATAAAATAACAGATATTTCATTTAATCACGCAAAGAGATTCAGTTAATTGATTTAATCTGTCAAGAGAATGACTCTAATACAAACGAATACACGGAGTTACACTCCGATTAATCAATTGAAAATTCACATTTCAACTTTTTTTTTTGTCTAAACTTTCACACACAATTCGATGCTCATTTTTTTAATCAACTCTGTTATTACGTTAAAAGCCATTGTTAGATTATATCTCCAATAACTTTCAATAATTTTTCATTTAGACCGTTTTTAATAATATAATATAACATAGTTTTAACATATTGCATATATAAATACAACACGCATGCTTCTCTATTTACAACCTGATCGTGATCACGTCATGAATTCATTCCATCGTAGAATTTTTTCAACATGACACTAACATACTTTTTAAATAATTTTTGTCAATTGAAAATTGAAAATAAAAAAAAGAAAAAAAAAACGTATATAAAAGTCAGTCTCTCTTGCCTAGTTTGACTTTTACATTGACTGAAAATATATGAAATGCATAAAGAAAGAAAAAGCAATGGCGAGAAAAACTGTTAATTTTTGTCTATGGCATTCTGGCATTCTGGCATTCTTCTCATTATAATTGGTTGAATAATAATAATAATAATAATATTAATAATAATAATAGTGATATTAATAAACATCATTAGTAACTAATAGGCGAGTAATCACTTGCACATAGTACGCCATATTTCAAGTAATACATTTATTTTTTCACTCGGGTTTTTTTTTTTGGTACCAGTCACCAAAATTAGAATCGATAGCATCAAAATGTACGACGTATTTGTAACCAGAGGCTTTTGGGTCACGCGGACCTGCGCGGATCTTTGAAGCTAATGTTTTGCCGGCCAACAGATATAGATATTCACACCTCGGGTGTTTAACAGTGATTCTGTTACATTAATTCGTCGTTTCTGAGTCTCCGCATTTTTTTCTTCCCCCAGCGTAAATGCCCAGAATATTCCGTTAAAAAAGATTGAGCGGCGCGTGGCACGGCGGTACATTGAAAAAGGCACAAAGTTATTAAAATAAAAATGATAAATTTACAAAATAATAAAAGGAGAGGAGCGATAGACAGGAGCCGACGCGCCAGCACGTGTTCTCAAAAAATTTTCATTTCAAATTCCTCTTGAAATTTCTCCTTTCTCGATTAAACGACAATAAATCAATTATCCAATTAATCTTATCTTTTATAATGTACAATAATTCATAAATAAATCCGTGTGATTATCGTCGGTTATTTCAATTTGGGAAGAATATCGTTCCGGGAAACAGACGTAAAAATCTATCAGAAAAAACGGGGGATGAAGGGAAAAAAAAAACTGAACGCTCCATTTTCTTGTTTGGACGCACGATTGGCAATGTGGCAGTTAAAGTTTAATTATGGCATACGCTATATATCACCCAACGAATAGCCGGAGTCCGCGATACTCAACAATCATCTTGTCTTGTCTAATGTAGGGAAGGAAAATTACTTAGCCAAAAGAGGGTACCGTTATCTGTTATCTACAAATAAGTCCTACGTAGTGTCTGCAAAAACTTACTTTCATCATTTTTTTTGTTAGCCTGGCGTAATCATTTGATTCTATAATTTCTCACTTTTTTTTCCGTCCTCACTCGTTCCATTAATGACTATTAATCGTCACATACTGTACATTAAATTTTTTAAATTGGCTTTAGGCACAGTGAATGAGCCAAACGAAGCTAAGAAGCACCAGTGATGTGATTTTCCTCGTAGGAGCACCACTCGTATTATTCGACTTATCGTCTGTATTAATATTCGTTAGTATCGATGTATCACCGCTCCTGATGGGGCCCATTCCCGAGCCGGAAGCTTCGTTGTCGTCATCAACATCCTCGTCATCACTATTTACAATAATTCCCCTATTCCAATTTGGATTAGCACCACTGCCAGATCCATCTAGTGCCTCATCAGACAGCAAGACTCCACTGTCAGGAGCTGATGCCAGCTGCGATTGCACCACCTGTTTTAGATAATCAATCGTTACCTTATTGCAAATATTTAATTTACTTATCACATTTACTTTACGTACAACACAGCACTTACTTGATTTATATGTCGCAATTGATCTATTAGAACGCTTGTATTCGAATTTCCATAATTCGGTGATGGTCCACTCTTGGCCATTACAAATTCTGGATTATACCTTTGGGCTGTTAAACTCGAGTCAACCACAGTCTTTGTATACCTGTGAAAAAAACGAAGCCCAATGAATATTATTCCTGCTATTAGGTGACTTTAATCGTTTGAAGTATCAAAATTTTATCTGCAATTTTTTTTTTCACATCTCTACGCGAGTTTGTCCGTAAATATCAGTAAATATCAGGATAGATAAAGAGTAGCCGCTATACATTGAGCGTTAAGACGTGGGTTACAATCAAATTGTGAGGTAAAAAATTTCTTTCCAGATATAAGACAGATATATGACTGGCAAATGATAAAAGAAAAAAGCGTTATTTTGCACGTACGCATGTGAAATTCCATACCGGATGGAGGAAAAAATAGCTGAGGATTCAATGGAATGAAAGGGAGATAAGCCCATAAAAAATGTAGAAGAAATTGAAGACATCCTCGATTACGGTAGATTAATTGATCCGTAATAGAGCTGGCAATCGCTAGGTAATTATCAGCGATTCTGATACATCTGACCCTGACCTGAGAGTTATTATAGTAGTAGTTGCTAGGTACCGATGATCTCGATGGAGATAAAAAAAAAAAAAGATGTTTGATTTAGTCAGAGTGACTTTCAGAATGATGCCCCAGTAAACTCCCTCCTCGATTCTCCTATAATTCTATCGATTAATTGTCATTGGACTGTGGAAAGTGCTCCTTGTAGCGACAATATAGACATTCCAAGGTTTTCCAAGATTCATTAGCAAGATTTGTGATATGACTTGTGAGTTGAAATGTAATGGGGTAGAAGAGGGGAGATGGTCTGGTGCAGTCAGTAGGACGCCTAGCCGCCAATGAGTCTGGCAAGGAGAGGAAAGAGGCGCCGCTGAGTCGTCGGCAACGAGTCTTTTCCCCTCTACATCCTATCATCTCGTCTTTCGCCAAGTTGTCCCTCTCACCACTACACCGACTCGTGATTCTACGGGTATAACTATTGCGTACAGACTACCACCGCCAAACTAGAAAATCTCTCGAGCCAACTCACATATTTTCAACGACACCCACTTGCATTCTCTGGTACAATCATCCTCATCGTGCACGCCCGAGATCAATACTCCCTAATACTTTGACACATCCTCGCGCGTTCTATCAATTATATAAATGCCTATACATTTAATAAAAGCCTGGGACGGACGGAGAACTGCAAATCAATTCAGCAGCCAAAAGGACATTATAAAAATTAACAGATATTCCGATATCTTGGAATTGACGGGACGTATCAAATTTTAGGAAGAGATGTTTTTTTGAGAAAAAGATGAGAGCTCCAAAAAAGATATCTATGAAAATATCGCTATATTCCTTCAATTTCGAAATATTGGCCAAGGTCTGAAGAAAAAAATGGACTTATCCTATTTTACCACTTGGCAACAGAATTTGAAACGTAAAACTTGAACGTATATATTCTCAGAGTTTATCAAGATGTCTGCTCGATATCTACGTGTTATAAAATTATAATTACGTGATGTTATTATTATAATTAAAATTTCTGGGAGGATGATGGAGGCTGGGGCTGATGTAAAACAGAGAGAAACCCTTTTTAAAATTTATGGGAGTAAATTAAATTGATATTAAATGAAGGGGTAATTTTTATACTTACTCTCCGAGTCGCTGGCCATTCCAGCAATGCTTTTCAGGATAGTCCTCGCATATGGCATCAGCAAGTGTACCGTAGAAGGTGCGAGACCTAACGACACTGGCTAAAAAGTTGCCGAGTTGGCTGTGGAGCTGGATTTGAGTGGCACGATGTGCCTGGGAGTTTGGGTGAGGCATATCGGCCAGACGATGCTCCAGGCTCGATGAGAACAATGACGATGACTTGCTACCAATTGAGGACACTACGTCAGATTCAACTGCTTCCGATGTCTTCCCCGTCTTCAGCTCCGAACGTCCGCATAATTTTCGAACCTGAAAAAAAAAAATAAATTCGTTTGACTCCAAATTAAAACACTGTACTCGATCATTTTTTTAATTCCATCATTTCGCCTGTGAATATTCCCAGTTAACGCGTCTGTCTGAGAAATTTCATAGCAATCAAGTATTTTTCAAAAATATATGAATTTTTTTTAAATCAAAATTTTTGCAAAAATCAAAAATCCACTTTTTAACATTTTTATTCCTTTGACCCTCTTCATATTGTAATCTCCCCTGGGGAATGAATATTTAATTCCACGCATGTCTAATAAAAAAATGTCATATTGGTGTCAGCAAAGTTGGATTAGCAAAAATAATTGTTTAATGGGAGAGGTAGAATTACGTCGAGTAGCAATCGCAGCAAAGCGTTGACATAATCGTCTGGGAAGGCCTGTTTACACGTCGGCACGTTCTCTAGCAATTTTTCTTTTCATTTTATTCGTCGTCCCCTCCCTTTTTAAGTGGGTTTTATCCGTACAAAGAGAGAGAGAGAGTACTTTCGTATCGGTACAGCACTCGTGCACATGCAGACGATATAAACAGCCGTGGGATCCCAATCAAGTTCTTAAGGCATTGGACCCTTCTCCCCCTGCTATTTCACATTGAAAATATCCTCTTTGAATCCCTCTTTTTCCTCCTGACACACAAAAAAAAAACGAAAAAAAAAACCGCCTATCGTCGCGAAAGAATAAATGTGTCACTTTCCAACAGCTCCCGGGAATTTATACCGAATTTATCATTATATATACATCATGCTGAGAATATAGAGACTGTGAAACAAATATCAGTCCCACGCGTTCTAGTAATTTATTGTGGGCTTATGGTAGGGTGGGGAAAGTTTGCAAAAAAGGGGGAGAAGAGTTGAAAAAAAAGATGAAAGTAAATATTTTTAAGCAGTTCGATTTGAAAAATTGTTGGCAAATATTTGGCTTCGGGGGACGTTGAGGCACTTCTTGAAGGCCACGACGTGCTGGTGCAAATGGGGAGAACGAGTGGGATGAGGTTGAAACCTTGAATGGTTTCGGGTCAGACACGATATTCAAATTTTCCGGAGGTTGATTGAGACCATTTGCAACATTGTGTGGGCGTTGGCTCAATTTTTTATTTCAATCCTCAATGCACTAGGTTTTCTCCTCGCGATCATTCTGAATTTTCAGAATCTAAACGTCTCCTAATGCAGTTGTCCATTTTTTTCCTGTAGCTACTCTCTAACTATATCCCCTCTACCAGGTGAGTCATACCAAGCAATCCAAGGCTGATTCAACGGATCGACCCAGACATCCTGGACTGTTAAAAAATTCTACAGAAAAAAAAGGCATTCCTCTGATTTCGCATCAATCAGAACAAAAACTCTTGAAGAATATCTAATCCATTATTGATTGACTCATTACCGTACATTGAAGAAGAGAGAGATGAAAAAAACAACGACTGCAATTGCAGAGAGTCATGACTAGTGTGTTGTAATGGGTTGAAGGAACTCTGCGATACTGGTGTATAAATAGACAGGCATTATGTCCCAATTCTCTCCATTTTATTGTGGTTGTTCAACAAGAAGATGAGGATTGAAAAAAGGTAATGCAGGGTCAATGAGAGATACAATTCATAATCTAAGGTCTCTCATTGATTTCAATGGCTCTCGTGAAGGCAGTTGACCGACGGAAGTGTGATGAAAAGATTTGATGAATAAACAGTCAACTTGAGTTTGTTAGGGTATACGTGGGGAACGATTTCGGTTGGAGTTTGCGGCCTGACTCAAAAGCGCCGTTCCACGGCACTCGAAAACGCACCATCAAACCATGCAAGGAATGCCATGGGCGCGTCTCACCATTCCCCTTTTTTTTTTCATTCCCTCTTCTTCTTCAACTTCTTCAGCTTCTTCAGCTTCTTCTGCTTCTTCTGCTTCTCCGCCTTTCCATCTCCTGGCCGTTCCCCTCCAGCCATTCCCAATGCTTGTAATATGAGAAAAGGATACAATAAAAATAAAAAATCCTCCATCTTTTGGAATGCATGGTGTAACTTGTCCCTACATTCCTCTGAAAAATATTTATTCGCAAATATCTTGGTGAGAGGAGTGATTCTTGAATGTGGAGAAAAATCTACGTGACGGTGAATAGATATGATATGGAACAATGGTACACAACTTTTCACTTATTTCTCGCCTACGAAGAGATTATTGTGACGACAATTCGTGCGTCATGAGGTAGAAAAAGATGACAACTTGAAACATGAAAGACACGAGGGGAAAAAAAAAAATTATCGTTACCTGTCCGGGAAACCTGCAGCCACACAACACAGGGAGTAACAGAGAGTCACATGGCAACAGCAATCATTCCACCTTGCTTGCTCCATTCTTCAGGTCTACAATCCCCTATCCCCTTTCGTTCATTTCGCTTCATTCAGTTATTTTGAAATCCACCATCGTTCACACTCTTTCCATTTATCTTTGTTCCACTGACGCCATTGTGTATTTATCCATATATACATATGTATTAAATACGCATGTACTGAGAACTCAAGGTATTTACTCGGTCGTAGGATTGTTGGATACTGCTGTTGGATTTTTTGAATGAAAAAGGGTATTTCATTTTTCCAAGTAGAAAATTCCCTGTTTCTTCAAGAAGTCGTCTCTTTCGTTTCGATTACTAATTATTTTAATTCTATAATCCAAGCCTGCATCACCAAGTGACTGCTGGCATAGAAAATGGATAAATTTGGGAATGAAATAAAAAAAAATATGCGAAGAGTGATATATATGAGAGAACAGGCTTGAGCCCGATGCGTGCGAGTTGGTTCAGGTATAACAGGTTCGCCTCTGGCCTCCCTTTTACGAAATAGGGGGACTTGGTTTTTATTTTTAATCTATTTTTTTCTTATTGCTTTTCCTCTTTCATCCACCTCCTCCCACTCGAGTTACCGCCCTCGCGTGCCAACGACAACCATTAACCCCCACTGTACTACATCTAACTCATCTTGCCACACATACACGCATCTCCATCATCCTCTATTAATTTCACCTCCAATCTCATTAATTAGCAAAACACTATTTTTCATCTGTCGGACTATCTGATCCCTCACATGTGGTAACTGGAATTGCTGTCCCAGGCATTGAAACGTTGAAAATATTTTATTGGCATGAGTGGGACGAGCTAATCTCGTGTCAATGATTTTTCAAGCACCGAAAATATCAGTGGAAGACCAGACTGTCGGGTCATTGATTCCACGAGGCACTTTGCCAATCTTCTCAGAAATTCACGCGTTTTACTCTTTATTTTTTCCATGGATTTAATTGGAAAAATAACAAGTAACGGGCAATTATAGATCGTTTGAATTAGACGATAACGCATGCAGCTGTTGTGATATCATTATTTTTTATATTCACATTTGAGATAATGGTACCATTTGAGCTAGCCACTCGGTATTCAACCGACGATTTTGTTATAATTTTGTCTCTTATCTCTAGATATGAAACAACCAACTGTTGAATCGAGTTAATCACCGATTAAAATTCACAGATTGAATTTAATTGAGATATTCAAAAAATTTGATAAAATAAATTTACTAAATTGCCTCGTGTTTCTATAAATCCCTGAATACAACTGGAGTTGGAAAATTAATCGGGTATTTCCCTCCGGGAAATACTGGTTCCATGCAAACAAAGAGGCTTGTCAAGTTTTCCATAAAAATAATTCTTCGATGGTTTTTCAATTTCGAGTTATTGACTGATCTCGAAAAAATGGAAATTATCTCTCGCGGTATGAGTGATAATTGAATTTTCCTGGGAATTTCTGGGAGAAACATGAAGACGCATCGAGGGCTATTCAATGTAATGGTGAAGACCGATGGTTAGAGTGATTATATCGAGCATGTGGGCGTAAAGTGGCTGGAGACAAGCCAAGGAATAAGACCGTTTCTAGTGGCCAAATGGAGGGCACAGCAAATCGTACTTTAGGTGAGTGAAAAAGAGACGATGAGACAACACCGAAACTCAATACCCCAGAAACAACGAGTGAGCAAGTAAAACCCATCGAAATTGTTATTCGACACTTGTCCATTTCTCATTGTCTCCAATTTTATCATAAAAATTGAAGCGCACCTTCCACTGCACTTCCAATGAGATATCATGAGATATCATCTGATTTTCCAAAGTTCTATTATTTTTCTCTCACCCTTTATTCGCAATTTTTATCTTCTATAATTGGATCCGTCCAATAAAAACACGTATAGAAAACTATTCGAACCAGGAATAGAAGGGATGAAAAAGAATGAAAGAATTCGCTGAGATAAATTTATCGAATAGCCGTGGGGTGAAAGTACTTGGATTTGTGTTTCGCTTGTTCATGATCCCTCAGTTAGTATATACCTATACACTGATTGAACGTAAAAAAAGAAAAAATAAAAATGTTAAACTCTTTATCTTTCTCTCTGGGTTGCATCTCGTCCTATAAAATGCGTAACAACCGGTAACGACGAGACACTCTACGTGTTTAGAAGACAATTTGGTACGCCAGGTCAGACTTAACAGTGTCTATGTACAGAAGTGTCACTTCTTCCTTCACACACCATTCCATCTTCTCTCATTGTCTCTAAGTGGCTACTCAACTGCTCCCTGCATTCCTATCCTCTACTTACACCCAGGATCAACGTCTACGACCATTAAAATTCATTCGACGATTAATTCAACGAATAAATCAGTGGATAAAAAATTGATAAAATGAAAATAATGAGAAATCGATCAAGGTCGGAATCAGCGAGGATTTCTGGGGGCCGGGAATTTCATGCAAACTCCGACCTAACGAGGGGGCCGAAGGAAATCGATTCTCCCACAGTGGAGGCACTCAAACAAGATGAATAAAAAAAAACGTATATAAAGGAGAAAAAAAAAAGGAGGAATGAGCATTGAAAAAGAGCATGAACGAGAGGAAGGAAGGAATCCGGAATGAAAGAAGACAGAGGGGAAAAGGGAGAGAAGGGAGAGAAGGGAGAGAAGGGAGAGGAGGACACATGAAAAGGGGCGCCCCATGGCAGTACCTTTTGCTGTGTCTCCATGCTGCCTCCTTCATCCTGCCTATATACAGGATAATGCTATATATATATGGGAAGGGTTTGCGAAGAATAATAATGAGTAAGACACTACACGACACGAGAATTGGAGTGGAAGGTGGCTAGTGGAAGGAGTGGGAAACATACCAGGTTGAAGTGAGACGAATAAACAAGTTGGCGGTGTAGTGGAAAGGACGCCGCGTGCGACCAAGAGGTATGAGGTCTAGTACAAACCTGCCGCGACGAATAATAATGAGGGTTAAGGACACACGAGGAAGGGCTCTCTGGTGAGAAGCAACTTTCCACCAAACGCACATTACAAACCAACTCTTCATTGGCTCCTAAAGATCAATTTTATCGCACTAGGGTGTCATCTCTGGTGTCCTATCAACAATCCTGTGGGAGGACAGCACGCAGTCTATCTGGTTCCTCTATTTTATCCACAATATCTTCTCGTTTGTCTCTTTTTTTTTCGATTTTTTGAGAAACGGCTGATAAAATTGATTGGAAAGAAATTATGGTTTTTGAGAGTTATTGTTATTGCCAAGTATTTATTTTTTTATGAAGTTTTATCACTGGGGGAATTTTTCATTCACAAGGACACGACTATGAAGATTTTTTAAGTCATTAAATAGCAATAAAACCCGTAAACATTTTTTATTATTTGGCACCTATGTCCAAAAAGTGTTTTTTTTTTAAAGATAATGGAAAAACAATCGGAGCCAATAATCGTTATTTTTATTTCTACGAAAACTATTATTTTTTTTCAATTTTTCAAAGGAATTCCGCCGACATCTTGCTATCTGAGGTTTCTAATGAATTCAATCACAGTTTAAAATATTTGTCTCACCGCCATTAACTCAAACGTTAAAAAATGGTATTCGAAAGTTGTCTTGACGAATTAAATTTTTATGATGGTTTTAGACTAAACGAGCAATTCCCCACTTGCCTAATTATTGAGTGGACAATCATCACCGACTAATTACCAAATACTCAATCAATATTCCATCAGTGAAATCATATAAAACTTTGAAAAATGAAGAATAAAAATTTTTTTGAACGAATGGCGATTTAACCCCAGCATCCCCAGTAGAGAAAAAAGTGTGCGGGTGTTGACTGTAGTTTTGTGGCTTAACTCGGGCTCCATCAGATCGTTGTGGCCGTCAAATTATTAGTGGAATTGGGTACCTCGGCAGATCGTGGGAGCCCGACCCCCCTTGGCGACGAGCATTCCTCTATACAGGTTGTACCTCACAAGAGGAGAGAATATAAGAGAAATAAAGAACATTCTCGCATTCTTCTCGGCGCCCCCTCTACTCCCCACAAAATTCAGTTTCTTTTATTGAAGCGACCACGATTGAACATGATAACACCTGCCATACATATTCTCACTCGATAAACCTAATCACTCGAGAGATAAAATTATTGACAAAAGCACGGATTAAACTATTCATTCGCATAATCATATTAACACAGTTGAGAAACACCCACGAAGAGTGAAGTGATATAAGGATAGGGTGGGTGAGTCTTATTCGTTGGATTCGTGTTGGCGTTCACACGGGTGTACCCGTGTGAAACTTTTAATTAAGAGCCGAACCGGCGCCTACTCCGAGGAACGAGTTCGGCGTGGATCCGAACAAGCAAAACCCAGTGCTCAACCTATCTCTCTATGTGTGTGTAAACGGCAGATAAAGAGAAGGCTAAAGAAGAGAGGAATGAAAAAAAAAAGGTCTCGATCGGAGAACACGTTTTTTTCACCATCTCTCCTTTTCGTTTATTTTCATCTCCATTTTGATTGGACTTGATCTCTCATTTATTCGTTTTTTTAACCCACTCTCACTCTTTATCTCTCTCTCTCGCCCTGTCCTTGCAACAAAATTGAGCTTCTGGTTATTCAACCACGTGATAATGCTTAATTTTTTATAATTGACCAATTCCAAAGTAAAACTGTCGCGAGTGTCGCTCACCATCGCGTGTATAAATTAATTCACGGAGTTTGTCTTGAGTTGAATTTGTCGGGGAGGCCTGACACCGAACAGGGATAGCCTGACATTCGCACGATGGAATCGAGAAAGAAAATTCTATTGTAGATGTGGAAAAAAGAGATAAGAAATTATAAAAATAATAATAATATGGGATAAAGGGCTTACCTTCTCCTCGAGGGAAGGACCGTTCTCCATGGCGTGCATTATGGCATCAGAAATTCGAGTATCCAATTGTCTGACTGCTCTCTCCGCATTCAAACCGAGTGGATCTGTTCTCCCATCAACAGCAATGACCAGTCTCTCGACTGTTTCCACATATCCAGACCATGCTAGATCCAATTCCGATGCTGGCTCAGTTAAGCAACCCCTGTAAAATATTATGAATGAAATTGAGAGAGAACTGGGTAAAATAGGACATCCAGGCAAAATGGGATGAATCAGAAGATTCAATGGAAGACGAGGGGAAAAATCGATGGAAACAATTTAGGGGAGGGGATGGCAAAATAGACCTTCGTTTTTTTTTTATTTTCCAAGTTTTTGCCTGGGTGTCCCCTACCTAAAAAAAAATTCAACCCATAAATGCAATGATGCAGAATATTTTTCTCATTACCTCATGACATTGGTGCACAGACCACTGCATGGAAGAACCGTAGAGTCATATCCTGAACATTTTGGGCAGTAAGTCATCCTGAGTAGTGCCTCATAGCAAGCACTTTGCTGTGGGCTAGTACCATAAAAGAGAACGGTATCAGTTTTATCCAACACTGTTTTCCCTAATGTCAAAGCTTGAACAAGTACACGAGTCGCTTCTAAACTCTTGGTGACCGAGCGTGATATCTGTTTTGGAATATCACCAAATGGCTGGATCTCGTCGATGGCGTCGTACAGACAATTTTTAAATTTATCCGTGAAGTCTTGCTGATGTGGATTAACAGCATGATGATAGGCAATTGGAAAGAGACGAGTGAAGAACTCGGTGAAACGTTTCTGGAGCATTTCACGGGTGAGTGGCTGTTGGAGGGTGTCTGGAGTGTTGCTGGACGAGACGTAGTCGATCATTGCTTGGTAGAGTGCCTTGATTGATGGCCTGCTGAGCAGTGACATCGAAAGGTAGACCTGCTCAAACAGAGTCAGGGTCTTGTTTTCTGATTGACGAGCCAGTGTAGTTACAGTCTCTAAAATTTTAATTACTCACATTATAATTATCCATAAACAACACAAAAACATCCCCACATCATACTCTCAGTTTTTTTGCATTCGCATTTATTCACATTTACATTCCCACTAAAATTGCTCAATTGCTGAAATTTTATACCCTGCCCTATTTTCTCGCAATTAACGTCAATTTCCCCCACGTGTCCAAGAAAAACTCATTTTTCGCACTCGTTGCTGCTCACGCAAATAATTATGTTTCTCTTTCCACTCTTCATGGCGGTAGTAGTAAAAAAAAAATATGTGTAGACGAGTGGTTGATTGTACAAGTGTGGTCGTTGGCATCATTTTTTCATTCTCCTTTTTTCTCTATCCATACTCTCTTAATATCGATTACAATCGATTAGCCACAAGTGGTACCACTTGTCTATAAGTATACTCTCGAAGAAACGGAAAGTGAGATAGCACAAGTGGGAGCATCTGTACTCGATGGACAAAAGATGACAATTCCATCCAATGAGAGAGTAAATGATTTTTTTTTAATGAGTCAAGAGTGAAAGAAGAAGGAGAAAATGTTGAAGATTTTGAGCTGGTGCGAACGGAGGTTTGTGGCCAGGTGGCTGTACAAAAGTAGCATTTTCCATGGCAAAAATGTAAAAATAAACCAAAGCTAAGTACATGCTGTACAGTAATGCATACAAGAGGGACAGGTCACAGAGCAGAAGAGGAAGTTGGCCAGGTTGTCGTGGCAACGACACGCGCTAAAACCTCACTCTTTGCTTCGTTGAGTCTATTCGCCTTTCAACCTTCAATCCAGCCTTTCTTCATCTGCTCCTTTTTCCCCATTCTCTTTATTATTTTCCAAGTGAGCATGAAACTTCTCTGGCCGTGATACAGGTGCAGAGAAATACGATATTGACGTTCCCGGAATAATTGATAATTCGTATGCAGTTATTTGACCGATTATGACGATGAACTCATGTGTTTGCTCGACTCCCGTTACAACGATGATTAATCCGTATTTATTTAGAATCGAGTGGTAACCGTACGTGCACGACAGAATTGTTTCAACTCTGTGTGCCGTCATCGGGCGTCATAATACTCATAAATCAGACACATTGTGCGACGGTTTTACAGGATGCAAATTTCGAAAATAAACCGTCGAAATGTGAATGCCCTCGAAGCTAACAGCTGACTCCCATGCCGGATAAACTCGGTGTGTTCTATTATAAAAATTCAGCATGAGAATTCAGAAGCTATCGCGTGCAAAACCTTTTCAACGCATTCGATCTTCGTTGGCTATCAAATATACTCCGGTCGCATAAATAATATTATCTTTATCTCTCATAGTGAACACCTGAATGCATCAAAAATAGCAGACTGCCAGTGGCGACCCACTTTAATATTTTCAACAGAATTTTTAAGGTAACTCTCAGCTCCGTGTGAGAATGTCTATTTACTGGTGCTAGATGTATATATTTTTTCACTTTCAATAGGGAAATTTTATTTTTATTTCAAAAAATTATGGTACGAGCAACGAAAACAGACAAGTGATTCAGAGTATTCACACAACATTGAAGAACATTGATACATTCAACTGCGATGTTAAATAAAAATCCATATCACATTATCCCCATTTATGTATTAATGTCTATGTACATACTCTGGTGTACACCGAGTATAGTGTTCTCCATGTTTTGAATAAATACTCCGATAGCATCCGTCATTGATGAACCATTTTCTTTGTATCACAAGATTCGATATAAAAATAACAGCTAGATGTGTGACGAGAGACGGATACTAATTTATGCTGATTGCAGATTATGATAATGCATTTGATTCAATGAATTAAGTGAGAATTGAGAGAATGTAAATGCTTGAGGAAATTTAATGTAGCTGGGACACGAATTCAGTACACGTCTGTCCTCGAATTGAACCGTCGATTTGTCGACTTGAGATTGCATGTGGATCTCCAACTGGCAGTTTCCTACATACTTATATAGGCGTCTGAGATTGCAAGGTATAGGTTCTTTTTTTTTTCTCTTCACGATTCAAGATTCCACGTACAATGCCCCTCGTGTAGGCGTTTCACATAGAAATTCTTCCTCTCTGTTGGAATTTCCCAAGTCTCCTTGATATTTTATGGCCATTTCCTTGAGCAACATTGGCCATAAAACGTCCAAGAAAATGAAAAACAAATCACCGAGGAGAACCGAATTAATAAAGTGATATGATTGCTGTCACCATCAGCTAATCGATCTTCCCACTCACGTATTGCAATTTACTTTGGCTACGCAACTATGCAACTATGCAACTCTGCAATTCCGCAACTATTCACGTTACCCTATGAATACCAAGTGTGAAATAATGCATCGACGGTTAAACCATTTGGCCAGTGCGAAACAACAAAGAGATTCAATAAAATGTTCGATGAAAAAGGTAAAGAGCAATGAGTTTAATTGCAACGGTACACGTTCCCGTGTACTAAGCAGAGTAAGAAGTCTTCTGAAAAGAACGACTGGATAAACGTAGTACGGGGGTGTATCCTCGCAGACATATTTACAGGATGTACATGGTTGTTGCGATACATGCTATAGAGAATGAATTTGGCTCGCGGGCGTGCGCGATAGGTTGTGCCAGGCCTTCTCATTCGCATTGTGCGACGTGGCCTTATACGGCAAATATATAAGGGGCCGAGAAAGCGAAAATTCTCCTTTTTTCATTCGACTCCTCTTCCCTCATCTTCCTCTGGTATCGGGCCCTCTCCAATCTTTTGGCTCTCGTTGCCTCTCTCAGCTACTACCATCCGCTACTTTTGCCAAGGCGTCGACGCACATGCATCCCAAACTGGTCTCGCACTGTCTCTCTTTTATATATTCCTTTTAAACATTGCCCTTCCATAGCCACGTTCAACCGCATTTTTCTCCTTTATATCTTCGTACTGTCTTTCGTCCAACCGCCATACCATACCACCGACTAAATTTACCAATTAAATCATTTATTCCTCAACGACTCCAGTCAATCTTACTAAATCCCAGAATGACGAGAGATATACCATTATTATCACGGGTTTAGATCCTGAATAATTTGATACTCTTGACTCACCCCTCAATGCATCAGCCGTTGTCGCTAGGAGACCCTGAAGACTGCGACTGTGATGATGTATTAAATTGTAAAAATCGTTTTTCGCCTGCTGTCGTAGCTGATCCTCGGTATGACGATTGCAGCACGATCCACCGCACGTGGCTGAACCAAGAAAAGAAACAAAAAAAAAACACGACATTAATACCATGAATAATAATGTTGACCTTTCGGTTGAAATCCGATAAACACATCAGGAGACGAATATCACATCGAGATAAATCAAATGAGAATGATATGTTTATCCAGTAGGAAATACCCATAAAGTGGCGGATTAACTTGGGAATAACGGTGATGGAGTATTTGGTAAATGAGAAGAGAGACGAGAGGCTGAATTTTCGTCGGCATATATCGAAGGTAAATCCATTGTGATAGCAAATATATCCCTCCCGTGGGATAGGGCATACAAATACTACCCCGAGAAAATTCCAGCTGTATTCAGTTATACGTGGAGAAGAGGTACAGAAACTGGTATTTAGTGTGACCTCGTCCTCGGTCCATACTCCAGCATCATCCAGCACGAGAGCACGATAGCACATTACTCTCTGGATGTGCTCTCTGAATCGGCCTGACTGTGATCAGTTTTATGTATAGTATTGGATAAATGTACGCGCCCAACTCACTCCTGCAATCCTTTATACTGCAGGAAGGGAGCATAATGATACACGTTGAATCCACGAGTTTGCTTCACTCCCATATCTATCTCGATATACAACATAGAAAGGTACACCCGGAAATGTTTCTAGCTCGTTATCTATTTTATCCCATACCCCATTGATTAATTTTTTTTTTCTCCTCAATGGCACTCTCACAACGTCTATTAAAAAATATAATTAGTGTGAATGAACGTGTCAGCTGTGAGGATAAACCACTGTATGAACTGGGGGAGATTAGACGGCTCGGTTGCTACGACATGCACCCAGTGCACCGACAAGTGACAGCTAATACCACATCAGATGTGCTTTTATCCAATAAATGTTATTGATTCAGCATCTTGTCCTCGTTATTACGTCATGATCGTTCTATTGTTCTAGAGCAAAGGGATGGGTTGAATATGACATCCTCGATGGATGAATGAGGACGAGAGATGATGATTACGATTAGATCCGGTTACGAGTTTTCTCGGCACGTTCTGTCGACTCGAGACAGAGAGATGTTCCTGGATGGATTATTATTCGGCACGCGCCGGTTTATCGTATCGTAGGTTAAGAATAAAGGGTCGAGAGGTTAATCTCGGGTTTTAAAAAATTTTCTTTCGGTCTTTGAGAGATTTGACTCGCTCAAATAATCTCAATGCCCTTTATAATCCGTTTATAATCGATTTAGAATGCATTTACAGTCCATTTGTAATCCCTTTTCCATTTCATCTCTATATAATGTATCGATCGAATTTTTTTCATTACCCCTTCATCCTCGCTGTAGTGATAAGCCTTTTCAGAGATTGGTAAGATTAATAAATGATATTGCTCGTTGCTGTGATTGTTGTTGATAAAATAGATGAGAGTGAATGAAATAGTGTCTCACTTGTAGCGACGTCCTCACGGCTGATTGTTGAAAAATGAATGGTGATATTTTTGCTCTCGAAGAAGGGTCTGACGATTTCACAATTGCCAGCAGTGACATTGCCTCCGTGATGCTCCGTGGACCTCGTTGATCGGCAAATTACACCATTAATGCACAGGCACAAAAACACTGTCAGTGGAAGACGCATTTTACTTTACAAAGGTATTATCCTCTATCTTTATAAAATTGGAAAAATGACGATCGTGTTAATAAATGATTAACAACTCTCGGCGATCTCCAATGAATTACTCAACCAATGCTGCGGTGTTTCACCAACATTTGGATAATTTTAATAATTTATTGACTCTTGGTGATATTAATTGACTAATTCACATAGCCGGAATAATAATTTTTCGTCTGTTACGATGGGCAACGTCGTGAGATGTGTGTTTGTACATTTAAGAGGATCGGTATTCGATTCAAGTGTCATTTACAGATATATTATTTGCGAGGTCAATGAGAACAATCTCCGGTTGATTATTACTCTCATTACGTATTAATTCACTGAAACATTGAGAATAATTCACTATGCACGTCACAGAGATGATTGTGTTTAAATATTTCTGTGGGAGCTGTGTCTCTGGGATAATGAGACTGCCGGCGCGCGACTGAATGGATTTCAATCGGTTAAATCTGCGACTGTACACTCTACCTCTCTACCACTGTAGCTCGATAGCTCAGCAGCTCAGCACGACTGCGGAATGCTAAACGAGATATGGTTGAACTCCAGAAGAGGGTCGAGGGGAAGGGATATCCTAGGGGTGGCGCCACTGACTGGACGTGAGAGGTGGATGAATAAAAAAGTCGAGGTATCTTTAAAAAGTATGAAAAGAGAAAAAAAAAATACTTTATTAGGCAAAAGATAAAATTAATTGCAGTGATTGATCAGAGGAATGTGACCTTGGTACGAGCTTGATTGACCTGCCAAACATTGAGCTCCTCGTACTCCTCAATGCAGTGGTCAATGTCATCAGGTGTGAATCCTTTATTTGTACACCTCTGCAGAATATCTGGAACTTTGATGGTTTTTGAGTCGTTAACCAATTCAAGAATAACTTGGAATATTCGATTGGCAGTGGTTTGATGCTTGCCACCTGTGTGACTTTCTGAGCAATTGATTGAGTATTTGGACATCTCTACGAGACGATTAGCTTCAGCAACATCTTCCTTCTCAACAGTCGCTGATAATCTCAAACGTGCTAGAGCTGTTGATAGACGTATAACAGCCAGCAGATTACGGGCCGATGTAAAAGTCTTATCGTGACTGTTTCTCGATTCTCTTCGCATATCAACGTAAGACTCGACGATGTACTCGGTGATATCAGGACTGATGGCAGGATCAATAGTTTTACAAAGTGCAATGTACCTTCTCATGAGATTCATATCAATGGCTGATGTCTCGGTTGTTGGCTGAGTACCGGTGCGGTGAACAGTGGTGATGTGCTGAGCAAGCCGAAGATCATTATCACGATCTGCACGGTCTTGAATGAGCCATAGAAGATCGAACCTCGAGAGCAATGCAGCTGGCAATTGAATATTTTGCTCAATCGTTCGTTTGGGATTGTATCTACCAAAGGCTGGATTAGCTGCTGCTAAAATGGAGACTCTTGCATTGAGACGTGTCATTATACCAGCTTTAGCGATTGATATTGTCTGCTGCTCCATCACTTCATGAATAGCTGTTCTATCACTGTCCTGCATCTTATCAAACTCATCGATACAGCAGACCCCCTGATCTGCCAACACCAGAGCACCACCTTCGAGCATCATTTGACCTGTCAGTGGATCTTTCAACACTGATGCTGTCAAACCAACCCCTGACGATCCCCTTCCGGTTGTGTACTGCGATCGTGGAGCCAAACGAGTTATAAATCCTAGTAATTGGGATTTTGCCACACCAGGATCTCCCATCAGGCATATGTTCAAATTACCACGGATTTTTATATCTCCTTTCTTCTTGTCTGTGCCACCTACCAACAAGAGTAACAGTGCCTTCTTAACGTCTTCAAGTCCATAGATTTCTGGAGCAATCGATGTCGCCAATTTTGAGTAAAAATCATCACCGGTGAGACCCTCTAGTTCTTCCTGGGTCAACTGTTTACTTGTGTCATCAATGGTAACGAGATTTGTCAGTGGAGTTAATTGATGGGCTTCGAGGAATGTCTCACTCAGAAGTCCACCCCCAGCACTGGGATTGAATCCAGTTTTTGCCAGAGGGAGAAATATTCCAGTGACGATAATGTGATCACCTGGAAGACAATTCCTCGTGGTCTCCCCTCGACAATAGATCGTCAACGTTCTCGGTATGTGACCAACTGGCACTTGGTCACTGTGCTCCTGCAGCTTAATCTCTTGGAATTTCACGAATTTCGAGCCTTTTGTTTGAATGTAGAGTCTTCCTCCAGACTTGTTGACTTTGCAGTCATCACTGACACACGTGTCGAGTGGCTTGAAGCTCAATGACTGGATACTCTGATAAGTCTCAGCTCCACATTGGTCGCAGGTGTACGTGGCACACACCATCATGGGTTTCACTTCGGTGCATCTCGTCACTATTCCTCGAACAGTTGTCAATTTTCCAATATTAGCTGCTTTAATTTCTCGCACAGAAACTTGTTTTGCATCGTTAAAATGGTGAAAGTAGACCTCAAATCTTCGCATCAACTCTGGGGCGTACTGATTGCGAGGATCACGCTGGTCACCAGGATGACGATTCCTAGCCTCCATGAGTAGGCGATGCTCGATGTAAATGTCAAGGGCGTCTTTTGGAGGTACAGTTCGCTCCTTGAAATCCGGTAGGATCTCCTGGACGAGCTAGATATCAAATAACATTAATACATTATCATTAATTATCATTTTTGTTTAAATACTGATGAGACAGTGAACTCACCTCAGTCACTAAATTGACATATCGCCGTGTATTATTGACAATGGCTTCAGCCAATTCATCATCATATTCTCGTACATCATCCAAGTTTATATTCAACGCAATCTGTTCTCTGTGAGCAATATTAGTTAGTTGCTCCCTGTATCTGAAGCACTTGTTCCCACTTTTGTCATCGATTGTTACGAATTCTTCAAAAAATGTCTTCAATTGCTCTAAAATCATAAAATCATCATTATTATCTCACCCGGTATTTTTGATTATTATAGAAAATTCATTTCATGGTTATGAGTGGCCCAGAGCACTGGTGGAAATTCCAAATTTATAAATTTAATTATTATTTTACTCACCCCTGTCTTTCATGTAGTCTCGTGGTTTCTTGGCCGCCATTATTTATTTATTTTAATGGCAAGATAATATTAAAAAATTGCGTAAAATGTAATATTTCGTGAGAATTGTGTGGCTTGATTGTTTGTTACTGACGACTGAAGTCGGAGGGCAAAAAAGGCGGGAGAAATACTGCGCACAAGTAGTTCGCATCGAATTAACGAGCGTCAAGATGGCGTGTCAGTGAAAAAAAATTTTCTGTTGGTGGCAGCACTCAGGCGAACAAAGGGGTTCGTGCAAGCCGTTTTAATACAAGAGTGAATTGCAATTATACAACAATAAACAAGAGATAAACAACTAGAAAAAATGTCGAGCAACAATCCAGGAGATCAGTATTCCTGGGTCGCGGAACAAGAGAGTACAGAATATTATTCAAACTCCTCCATTCCATACCCCCCGCCTGATTTTTCACAACCACCTCCTAATTTTCGAGTACCACCTCCTAGTTTCACAAATTACCAGGGGAATTATCAGAACAATTCGTATGACAAATCATCGAGTGATAATTATGGTTATCCTCAAAGTGGTTCTTACCAGAATTACAACAATTACTCGCCATATACCTATCAAGGTTACGCAGATACTGCAGGCCATACTGGAACTCAATACGCATCTTCAGGGAATGATTCAACCCAGCAGCGATGGTCTTCAAACAATCAGTGGAACAGGAATCATTCAGAGTCTGAATCAAAGGATGGCAGCTGGAAGGGAGGCTGTAAAAATGATACTGGTAGTGGCGACTGGAATCAAACATCTAGTGTAAACCGCAATGACTCTTCAAAACGTACTGATAGCAGGTACGATAAGCCACGAGCCTCAGACTGGAGAGGATATGGTGATAAAGGCTCATACCCTAACAAGCAGTGGTCAAAGGGTTCTGATTATCAATCAAGTCATTACAAGGCCTCCAACTCTCGTGGAATGCCAATGGAGAGATACAGACGAGCAGACAGACATCATTATTACAAGAATGAGGATTACCGAAGTCGTGAGAGGACACGAAGTAGGGAGAGAACAAGAAAGAGATCGAGATCATTGGAAGCTGATCCTACGAGGGGTTCAGCTGCTGTTGGGAGTAGTAGTAGCAGTAGCAGCAGCAGCAGTACCCCTGCTACTGCCACCACTGCTGCAGCCACCACCACCAAAACTCTTGGAAAACCAAAGAGAGAGTTGACTGAGCGGGAGGTATTGCTGGAAAAATATAGGCGAAATTATTGCGCTACCAGCCGTGATATTGAGAAGAAAATGGACGAACTAGGTCCTGATGGGATCTTAGAGTGTGAGAGAAAAATCTGGACGCGAACAGCTCCAGCAGATCTTTACTACAATAGAGATGAGACTAATCCAAAGATAATGAGAGGAACGGCAAAACTCGATGAATTGTGTGATGTATTCAAACGAGTACTTCTCGATAGAGCGTCACTCACTCGAGCTATCCAACCCCCTTACGAGCCTCCACTGCGAAAAACTAGGAGACGCGTCTGCAGGCATAAATCAGAAATATGCAGTAGCGACAGCAGTTCTTCAGACGGTGACAGTTCTATGGATGAAGTCGACAGGACAATGGAGGAATTGATGGCGAAGAAGGAGCATCCACAGAGGTTGCACAAGGAGATGTGGTTCAATGATCCTGGGGAAATGAATGATGGACCATTATGCAGATGCAGTGCTAAATCGAGAAGATCGGGAATTCGTCACGGCATTTATGCCGGTGAAGGTACAATAAATCCTTGTCAATTCAACTCCAACAATGCGGACAAATTGTTTCATTATAGAATAACGATAAGCCCTCCTACTAATTTTCTGACAAAAACACCGACAATCATCAAACATGATGAGCACGAATTCATATTCGAGGGCTTCTCCATGCTCTCTCATTTTCCGCTTGTTAAACTGCCTACGTGTAAAGTCATTAGATTCAATATTGAATATACTATTCTTTATATTGAGGAGAAATTACCGGAGAATTTCACTGTCCAGGAACTGGATTATTTTCAAAAGTATCTTTTCAAGGAGATATTAGAATTAATGGATTTTGATTTGCATCCAGCCCAAGATAAAAGTGGTTGTGGGCAGTTTCACTTTATGCCAAGATTCGTTAGGGATTTGCCCGATAAAGGACAAGAAATTCTATCGATGAATGAAGTATTGAATTATTTGATAAAAAGTAGTACGAGATTAATCGAGGAGGAGGATTTACCGCGGCTAATTGAAATGCCTCAGTACAAGTGGCAAAATTTTGCGGATGAAGTTAAAGGAATGGTAGTGACATATCCAGGTAAAAAACCGTGCAGTGTAAGAGTAGATCAACTCGATCGAAATCAAGACGATCAGGATCAGGAATCCAATCAAAATGATGAAGCAAATGGGACACCCTATCCAGCCATCGTTCACTTTGGCATAAGACCACCTCAATTGAGCTACGCTGGTAATGCTGATTATCAAAAAGCCTGGAGAGATTATGTAAAGTTCCGTCATCTTCTAGCTAATATGCCGAAGCCTTCATTCGAGAATAAAAGAAAACTAGAAGCCAAAGAGAACAAACTCCAAGAATTGAGGACACAGAGTAAAATGAAACGAGATGTCACTGTCGATATGAGCTCGGAGGGATTTTATCGAACTGGAATAATGTGTGATATTGTTCAGCATGCCATGTTGATTCCTGTTCTAGTGTGTCACTTGCGTTTTCACAAATCCCTAGACAATTTGGAAACTACATTGAAATACAAATTCAAAAATAGATATTTATTGCAATTGGCACTGACGCATCCTAGCTATCGAGAAAACTTCGGCACCAATCCAGATCACGCAAGGAATTCGTTGACGAATTGTGGAATTAGTCAGCCAGAGTATGGAGACAGACGAATCCATTACATGAATACTCGTAAACGAGGCATCAATACTTTAATAAACATCATGTCGAGATTTGGAGCTAGAAGAGAAACAGAGTCATCGATAGCTCATAATGAGAGATTAGAGTTCCTTGGAGATGCTGTTGTGGAATTTCTATCATCAATTCATCTTTTCCACATGTTTCCAAATCTCGAGGAGGGTGGTTTGGCAACTTACAGAGCAGCTATTGTTCAAAATCAACATCTTGCTGTACTAGCTGAGAAATTACATCTGGAGCAATACATGCTGTATGCTCACGGCAGTGATCTCTGCCATGACCTGGAGCTCAAACACGCCATGGCCAATTGTTTCGAAGCCCTGATGGGCTCACTATTCCTCGACGGTGGTATTGAAGTCGCCGACCGAGTATTCGGTGAAACTTTATTTCAGAAAGAATCGGATTTATTATCCGTGTGGGTGAATTATCCGAGACATCCTCTCCAAGAGCAGGAGCCCATGGGCGACAGGCAGTGGATATCCAGCTTTGAATTTCTCCAGAAGCTCACAAAATTCGAGGAAACTATTGGCGTGGATTTCACTCACATCAGATTACTGGCCAGAGCATTTACAGATCGAAGTATTGGATACACTAATTTAACACTTGGATCCAATCAACGATTGGAATTCTTGGGAGACACGGTTCTTCAACTTATTGTATCGGAATACCTTTACAAATTTTTCCCTGAGCATCATGAGGGGCATTTGTCGCTTTTGAGAAGCTCATTGGTGAATAACAAGACACAAGCAGTTGTCTGTGACGATCTAGGAATGACGCAGTATGCATTATATGGAAATCAAAAGGCAGAGCTCAAGACAAAGGATAGGGCTGATTTATTGGAGGCATTCCTCGGGGCTCTCTACGTGGACAAGGGTCTGGAGGCTTGCAAAGTAGTCTGCAACGTGTGCTTTTTCCCTCGGCTTCAGGACTTTATTATGAATCAAGATTGGAATGATCCCAAGAGTAAACTTCAGCAATGTTGTTTGACCTTGAGAACGATGGACGGGGGTGAGCCAGATATACCTGTTTACAAAGTCATCGAGTGTAAAGGTCCCACCAACACGAGGGTCTACACAGTGGCTGTGTATTTTCGTGGGAAGAGACTGGCCAAAGCCTCTGGACATAGTATCCAAGAGGCTGAGATGAATTCAGCTAAAGAAGCCCTGGAGAAGTCTCAGGATCTCTTCCCTCAGCTCGATCATCAGAAACGAGTGATTGCCAAGAGTGTCAAGATGCAGCAGTGGCCCAGAAGATCGAGAATCAGGGTGTCGAGGCATTCGGACAAGTCTGATGATTCTGATTCTGCTCAGAGTAGGAAGAGGAGAAGTAGGAGCAGAGAGAGGGATGATTATCGAAGATCGCGTAGCAGTTATGAATAGTACTACTCATTGTGAGTTTAATAAAGGCTTTATGAGAGGCTATATTTCAATTTATCACTTTATACAATTATAATTTTTCCTTTCCTATTCGGAATTCAATGCTCCTTCTTCATAGTTGGAGTAATTACTATCTGGAGGGTTTGATTCTTCAGATAGATATTCTCTTAGTATTGGATCCTCTTGTTTGAATAGATATTTATGTTTTCCCAGTATACGCCTGCACTCGTGCATATTCTTCGTAATATTCTCCAAGTCCCAGTCTTTTTTTAATAAACCATTATTGATCCCAAATACTCCATACTGAAAACACTGGATTTGTGTGCAGGTGGATGTTGATCGTAAATAGATACCCATATTGTGGACAAGATTTTTTATGAATGAGTCATTTTCGTTGATACAAATAATTTCTGAAATTACAATGAAATTATTGATTTTTCCATCTAGTATTTTATTAATAATCGTGATAATTATTTACCTAAAGTAAATTCGGGGGGATTGAAATCGACACATTTCATTGCATATAACATGGTGAGCTTGTTCTCTGCAGGTCTGATTGGCCCTTGAATTGCAAGTTCATAGGCAGCTTGTGATTGAATATCCACTCCACTCACTCTATAAAAGAGAACAAGAAACAATGTTGTATATTAATTAAAAAAATGTTGAATATGAGTAATCGAGTGCAAGGCAATATGAAAATATTTTATTTGAATTGGAGTAATGGGAATTATTAATTTTTTGAGTGCCTCACTAATAGATTTGAAAAAAAAATAATTTTTCAAATTTGTTGTGTCTCAGATTATCGAATTCATTATTTATGTTTTCATCTATTTTTGGAGGATGCCCCTTGACAGTCTATCAATTGACTAATTGAATCAAAACAATGTAATTTTTTTAAAAATTATGAATAGGAAAAATTTCAAAGGGTATCTCCTGCATCCCTTAAGGCTGACGTAAACTTACTCAAACATTCTCCGTTGATGTGAGAATTGTATCGACGAACATACTCTATCAATGTTGATTCGCTTGATATGTTTCCACGTCGACTTTTCACGTATTCTTCCGGTAATAAAATAATTGTCGGTAGCCTGTCCTAGTATTCCCTTGACTTTGAAAAACCTCATGGGATTGGATTGTTTGATTTTGGATACCATTCTGGTACCCTTATTAATTCCTACCAACATTATTCCTGACATATCAGTTGATATTTGGTGCGCCCAAGACATCTTGAAGTCTGTAGGCTGATACCTGGGTCCAACGATCAAAGGATGGTCAGCATAACTTGGTTCCACACTGACAGTCATTTTTTTGGTGGTGTCACCCTCGATATGGACGTAGTTCTCAGGGGGTCGAACATCCAAGCCATTCAAGTCTTCGATTAATTCGTAAATACATTGTTTATGTTATTCTCAATGCATTGTTTTGATTCAGTCAATGGAATGTTTACTAACCTCTACAAATGTGAGTCAACAATGTCATTCTCACTTGTGAGAGACTATTACTCGCTGGTTTGTAAATAGCAAACACCCCATTCAAACTTCGATAAATCTCTTCCGCATTCCTCGTGTATTTTATTATTGATTTCGATATTTTTTGGACTGCTGACATGCTGGATTATTTTTTATTATAACCTCCATCAGCAATGATGTGCAGCATGTTCGGCAGAGCTTCAATAAAGTTGATAATTACGGGCACAGATGGCATTTGAAACCTGTCCTGTATAAACATCAATAAAATATAAATATTGATATTTATACAAATATAATAATGAGTTCGGTGGATACAAAGTCAATAATGCTTCATCTGTATTTATTCATATTATTTTTAAAATTTTAAACACAAATATAAATTGATACATTTCATATCGATATCGATCCAAATTCATTTAATCATTAAACTATGCAAAATCGCAGCCTTTTCATTAATAATAAATCTTTGAATTAACTCATTGATAGGATCAACATCTTGTCGAGCAGCTTGACGTCTCATGGCTTGTCTAACTTCCTCACGAACACCTTTATCAGCCCCTCGAGTTGTTATCCTCCTACCCTGAAGCACTTCCGATCCAATGGCAATATCCAGTGAAATTCCTCCACCACTCTCCGTCCACAAATAAGTGAGTTCCTCTAGAATATCAATACAAATAATATAAGATGTGAACAGCGGATATCTGAAGGCCTCATGCATCCGAATACGTTCAGAGATGGTAGACAAGAGATTGGCCTCTTGCGGCCAATCCATTTGCATTAACACAAGTGCATTTCCCGTTGCCCAATCGCCAGTATCCGTAGATATAGCCAATTTGCATTTCAATCCATTTAATAATAATCTGCAGCAGTACTGCAGTATGGGTAATTCCGCGAGGGGTAGGTAGTGCAGGTGACGTGTCGCTGGAACATTGAGATTATTCGACAATTTTCCTCTCGTTTGGGGTAGAGCACTCACAATCATCACGATATAATCCAGCATTCCCTGTTATTGAATAAACAAAACGTTATCAGTACCGAAGTGATCAATTAGGATAGGTCGAAATTCACCACTTATCAAGACGGTATGACGAACAGAATTAATTAATTGATAGATATTTACTCCATAATCCTTCAGACAGAAGCAAGTGCTAGCTAGTCTCAGGTGCGTTGTTAAATTCCCTCCAGCCTGTGGAAATCTCGCTAGGGCGTCTTGATGTAATCCTTTGTAAACTGCCAGGTCAATTAGAAAAGGATTCAACCAAGCGTCCAATCTCAGAGTCTGTTGACTAAGTTTCACTACTTCTCTCTTCATGTACTCAGTACTGTGCAATATATCCCACAATGCCACAGCAGATGTCAATCCATATCCACTGTAATCGCTGTCGCTGGTGAGAATAATTTCCTCTCGTTTGCGTTTTTTCGGTTTCGGTTCTACTGAGAAGACAATTGTCTGCAATTATTATTCTTCTTCTGCCAGTTATTCCATTCAATTCTATTATTATTTACCTGAAGTCGATGATATTGGTTCTGTAAATGCCTCAACTAAACAGTAAGGCACGTCATAACTATTCATTTGAGCTGCGTGCTCATTCAATATTCTAATTAGCACCGCAATTGCACACAGCAGCAATTGTCGTACAGTAGCTTCATCATTGAGTCCATTGGCGTGAGTGACAGTATATTGCTGGATTCGTTCGCAGTAAGCCTCTTGGTTCCAGGGTGTGGAAAATAAATTACTCAGCTCCCATCCAAGTTTTTTACCAACAATATCGATAACTTGGAATAAACGATCCCAGGGATTTGGAATCTGAGAGTCTGGAGGTTGTTGGACGCAGGCTAGGAAAAACTCGACTGCTTTGCAGAGCAATCGTAGACTTAATCGAGGATTCAAGTCAACAGGGGCACCTCCTAGAAGGGGAAGAGCTTCACAAGCTAGAAGTCTTCTGAAATCGTTCACAGCTTCTCCTGGGTGGCTGTGCTTTTCAGCGGTCAGTAGGGTTTCAACCAGGCGGGGCTATCCATCAGAATATTTATTTTTATTAATGAAATAGGAAATATTTATCTGTATCCATTATCGACTAGACGTACACCGTGAGTTGAAACCGTTTGAGGAAATTTTTTCAATAGTAGGAGCAATAATTTGCAGTGCTCCATGGTGTCCTCACTGTGGTCAGCTGTCATGACAAGCAGTCGATGTTGAAGCTCTTGAGGTATGTGTTGGAACATTTGACAGAGCAATTCTGATTCAGGATCATTTTTCTCCGAGCGAAGACATGCTGTCACTGTTTCAATTTCCGTCCAAATCTCTCGATCTTCGGGAAAATTCTGAAAGCTATCATAAATAAAACTAGAATTTTCATATCATCTTCCGAAAAAAAAGCCTTTGAAATTCAATTGACATTCACTCACATTTCGCTGAAGCACTTGGCGGCTTCCTTCACATTTTTAGAGAGTTTTTCTATTCGATAGGCCTCGAACTGAAATTATTGTAACAATAAAAATCGTTTAATTAGAGCGTATAATGGAAAAAACTAACCTGCACTTTAGAACTATGGGGAAATAATGATTTAGCTGTGATTAGCCAGGATTTAGCGGCGTAAATGTCAGTGTGTAAAGCCTCTTTTGCTCGTAATAACAAATAATCCTCTTTTGAGCCTTTCGACTCCGTTGGAATAGAATTCTCAAACATTGTTCACTCGTTTATCAAATACACTTGACAAACATCTGGATTTGTTTGTTTATAACAACCGGTTCAACAGGCAATATACCATCTGAGTGGAAATGAAGATAGAACTCGTTAGATGGCGCATAAGTCGCGATTGTCGCACGACGCAATTCGTTCTTCCGATTTCCGTTAGAAAATTCTCCGCTTCGGTATCTTAACGGTTCGCGAAAAAAAATCAATTAACACCTCCTCGTTAATAATAATCGTAAGCAATGATATTCCTCTATTAATTCTGAGAAAACCATGGCAGTATTATTGTTTACATCACCGGTCGATGTTGAACTGAATTGCTAAAGTCAACAATGGGATATTTTTGAAAATCCCTTGAGCTATATGGGGAAAATCTCGGAGGAAAAGTTACATTTATAAAGATATAACTGTGAGCACTCAACGAGCAAAATCCGCTTACTTTATAGAACCCACCGAGCCACAATGTGAAAGCTCCCTAAGTGGTTATGGCCCTTTGGCTTTTGTATCCGGTGGATTTTCACTTCCATCAGAATTGTGAGCTGGAGATTCATCCGTCAAGGTCAATCCTCCTATTTGGTAAGGTTCATTGACATTTTATCAATTTATGATAGTGCGGCGTGATATGGGCATGTTTTTGTCTAAATTATTGTAGTAATTAAGACAAATGTCTGCGTCCTGTTGAAAATCATTCAATTATCAGATACCGAATTGATGTTTTTGGATAAGATTATTTTCTCGAGGTTATTAGTTAGTGATGAAGAATTGGGAATGGAAGTCAATGTCAAATGATAATTTAGGACGGAGTTGGTTGACACAAGCGTCGTTTCAGAAACGTTGTTCATAGACAGGTACATGTACTCTCTGACTGCACGTACTTTGGGATAGCTTAGGTTGGTTAGTTAGCGTGCAAGTACACGTATCAAAGGCACTCTGAATCCGAGCTTAACAAAGCCACCATCGGAGATTTTACCAAGCGTATCACGTACTCAAGCTGTCTATATGCCATCCCCACATACCATACATCTACACACTAAAGTTTACCCTTATAATAGATCCGGGTGAGATACTCCACCTTGAAAAGAAATCCTAATACTTAATATTCATGAGTAAGGATGAGTTTCCACGTATTATGGGACATAAGTAATGGTGATTTGATGATTTAGAGGTAGAGAGGTGTATCGGTCACTCGAATGTGCGCTAGGTCTCCTCAAGAGATGGATTTTTTGCAGTTCTATTTGATTTGTGTGTGAGGAATTGTGTGGGTTATCTCGGTGTATTAGGTTGGTCATCTTCTTCAGAGTGAATCCTTCGGTTATGTTGATAATTTTTTGGAACCGGATCTTGCGAAATGATGAATTTATTTGAGTGAAAAATTGATCAAGAGCGAATGGCTCGTGGGTTCCATCGTTCCAGGATCCATCCCCCTCTGAAGATTGTCGGCAACTGATAGTGAAACTCTGACACGCGTGTATAAAAGTAGGGTAGGATGATGGTATAAAATTTAAGCCAAATGTGCAACTAAGTACCTACTTAAGTCCATTTGACGCAGGGGGATTAAGATTGCATTTGAATGGAAGATTTCGACAGTGGAATTTTCACCAAATGAATTGAGCTATTGTCGGCTAGAGGACAGGGGCCACCTGCCAGCTCTTGTCCTCAGTTTTTTTTTTTCTTCTCACTTATGCCAATGCGTAAGCCAGTTGGTCCAAGAGGGATCAATTTTGTAAATATCCTTTGCTGAATTAGCGTACATGTGCAACATCTGGGTTTGACATTGACTCGTACGACTCGTGTGGAATCACTTCCGAATCAGCGGTTATTTCGCTCGGGGCAAGACGCCTTTACTATTTCTTACATGAGTAATTTGATAAACGCAAAATTATTGCAAATTATTGCAAAAAATTATCCTGAAAATTCAATATGAAATACAATTGAATTTTCAATAGATAAAACATTTCGGAAAATGAGAACAACTGGAATACTCAAGAAATTATATAATTAATTTGATTCGTTAATTGAGATAATTAATTTTTACATAAATTCCATGTCACGGTGTCGTTATAAAAAAATTCCAGCTTTTTTACTTGAAATTTCATGGGTAATTTTGCATCGGTATAATGACAAATTAGAAATGATCAGATACTCATTGTAGGACAAGTTAAGGGGTTTCTAGTTGGAAAATAATGATCCCACACTCATCCATCGATGGTATTATGAAATAAAAGGGGAGACAGAGGGAGGAACACCCCGATACAATACGATGATTCTCTCCGCCCCTCTTGTAATGCTTGTTTTCCCCTACCTTTCATCATTGAATTATTTTGATTCTGTGATAATTCACCCTCAATACGTTTTTTTCTTTCTTCTCACATGGAGCCTCTGATACAGCAAAAAAATCATCGACCCTTCCTCACAAATAAAATTTTAATGCGTATCGGCGCGTTATTCTCACATATCCTCCAGGACCACAAATTTTTCATCACTTTTTACACTTTATCTCATTAATTTTACTTTGTTTGATTTGAGGATTAGATAGGTTGTGGGTGCAAGCCACAAGATCAGTCCTTCCGAGACGAATTACAAAGCCTCTGGCACGCGCTGGAGGACATGTACCCCAACTGTAAAGCCCAATTCATGTATCCAATGTATCCATTGTCAGATATAAAATCGAATTTGTCAATTAGACTTTCAGGAATTCATGGTTGGTTTGGTTGAGAATTGGGGACAATGGTGGCAGGGGGTGACAGCTGTATTCCAGAAGGTATATAGCTTCATGGATGTCTAATGCTGGAAGGCATTTGATTTTCACATTGTAATGCAGAAGGTCAATAATTTCGATCAATCCAATTTCTGGAAAACAAGACGAGAAAATCATTCACCCAAAGAAGATTTATTTCTCGCATAACTCGATCTGACACTCCACGCTAATTAAAGAGTATAAAATTTCGGTTGAATAATTAGGAGAGGAATCTCAATGGCATTGATCAATTTGATCAATTTGATTCAGACAAAAAGGAATGTTATTGACATTCCACCGACTAACTACTGTTTCAGGAGTTTGTGTCCATTTGAATGTCTTCTGCTATCATTGGACTCAACCCGTAAAGTTTGCCAGGTCGTCTACGTTAATCACTATAATTGATATTCCGCTGATATCACCCAGCGAATAGTAATGAAGTAACCCCAACGCGTTAACGAGGCAACAGTAACCCTCCACTCTCATTGAAGTTGGAATACCTTATTGGCCGCGTTTCACTAGCTCGTTTGTTTTCTTCAATCAAATTATATTATTATTCTGGGGTCCTTGCTGCTAAGCCAATCCCCGTCTCCACTCGTTTATTCAACTCCCCGCATATTTCAAAACTTCTCAGCAGGACAATCGCTTCTCCCATTAGTTCAATTGATTTTCATTGGTATTTTTGCTTTCGAATGGCAGCAGTGCATCATTTTTTTTTTCTCATACGTAAATATTGATGGATTTTAATAGTTGATAACAAAACTATAAGTAAGAGTAATTCGCCAGTCGTTTAAATTCATAATATCCCCATAAATATCCATTTCGTGAGTTGCAGTCCCCAAAAAAGTCACTCAACTCATCACATTTTGCTTTACCTGACGAGACTATTTGTCTCTTATCGTCTTGTCGTGTCTCGTTTTCACGAGAGCGTATATACTCATGGTCGCAGGAAACAGCGCATCATGGTAATAACCGTCATCAAATAACGACCACTTAGACGCATGCCGTCGCAGTATAGTTTGATAAATAATGAGAGAGAGAGAAAAAAAAAGGGATTAAAATGCGAGGGGAAATGAAAAGAGGAATATTATTCCATTGAATAATGCAAAATGCGGACAATTGAAAATAAATGATTGTAGGAAGGAAAAAATCACGGATAGCACGGCAAATAGACACATGTCTCGTTTCCGTTCATTGCGTTGAGGCATTCGTGTGGATTTTCTGCCGGTGATTCGATTAAATTAAAATATCGTCTGTTAACGAGCACGCATGACAGTAGCAGCGACATTAAACTGTCCGCAATATCCGCCATTTCAAAAGACCACCGAGACAAAATAGAAAGACAAGTGGATAAAAACGTTACAACTAAACAACAATAGTAGTAATAATAATGATAAAAATAAATATAAAATTGTAAAGCACATGCAGTATTCAGGAAACGACAGACGCTATTGTATTTCTGTAATAGTTTAAATGCCAAGAGGTATTTTTCTGGTTCTCGAGTCACTTGCACTTTCAACTAATGTTAATGTTATGCTAAGATGGCTTGTACTTGATTGTTTCAGATACTCTGGTGTCATTACCTCTACCAGCAGCCAATGGAGTAGGTGGCACAAAGCGATTTGCTGGAATTAAGTAATGATTGACTGAAGTGAACGGTTGGCTACAGCATCGAGCTGCTGAGAGGGGACACTGAACCACGCCCAGAGACACCAGGGGTAAGTCTACCATTTACATTTTCCCATTTACAACTATTTACTTATATCATAAAAAATAATGATAGCTGCAGCAATGCATGTACTGACACGGTACCTTTCGTATGACACATAAAGTGCAATTCGTTATGCAGTATAAAAAGAACAGAGCGAAGTAGTTTGATGGATCTCGTCTATCGTATCTACTAATTGAGTGAGTTTTCTTGAGTCACTTGGTTCTTTGGTCGTCTATTAGGCCGCGAATCGCTATTCTAGAGTGTGTGAGACAAGGGTGAGAGAGAATATAAAAGAGAAAAAAAAAAGAAAATGCTGATTTAGTGGTGGGGAATGCGCCTATCTTAAAGTGGCAACTGGCTGAATCCTCCCAATGAAATCCATGGTTACGCGCAGTCGCTGAGGCGGTAACACTCTCAAGAGATGAGACTATCAAAGTGATAAAGGGATAAAGAGAGAAAGAGAGTGCATTCACCCCTCCAATAGCCTCCAGTAGCCTCCAGCAGCCTCCAACAGACCTGGATTGAGAGGTGGAGGTAGAGTCTGTGCTGATGGAAAAGAGTAGAACGGGCGTAAAGCTGGCAGCAATATAGTTGGAGTGTGAAAATCAACGTGGGAGGGAACTGAATAAAGGAGGGTGAGAAACCGAAACACCTATACACACTATCATATACCCCATCAGCATGCTTTGTCCATGTGTATCGCTGTATAACTGACACAGTTATCGTTATAGCGAATGTATATATGTATCATCCAAAAGGGGTGATGTATATTGGGGCTGTGAGCTCAAGGAGGGGGTGCTTTTCTATCCCTCTCCGTCTCACTTTTTTTTTACCATGGCATTCTCACTCGAGGGGTTGTGAGATTGCCGCCATTTTACAGCACCACCGAATCTGCATAACGATCAGAGACTGTCGTGTTTATCAAAGCTTTTCTACGTCATCTGCATAATTTTCTGGCGCGCCTCTTTTCCACGTACCTCATCTCTTTTATCTTCGAGTCTCTGTATACGTATAATGCCGATGAGTTTGCACATAGTTTTCGGGTAAAGTGCCTTTTAAAATTTAACGTCTTTTCGAATAAATTTTCGAGGGGTTGGACAAGTGAAGATGATAGAGCTATTCCCACATGACTAATATCTTTTATTTAAAAAAACAATATCGTGGCTTTTGTCAGTGATCTATTCCGACTAGATTATCATCGTAATCTTTCGGTTATCATATATTTATTTATACGAATATATGAACTTTTTCTTCCGGAGCGACTAACATAAAAGTAGATATATAATATATACAATAAAAATACAATATAATAATAGTATATATATATTTTTATTTTTATTGTATTATATATATTATATATGGGATAGAGCGATTCCCACCGGAGGAATATGGTGCTATCACAAAAAATGATAGAAATATTTAGTGACAGGTTTGAACGAATGCACTGAGGGTTGTTATTAGGGGGGTACGTCTTATTAGCCTGGCATATGGAGGCCCCGAATTACTCGTCAGTATTGAGGGTAGTATGGCGACTGATAAAGATCTACTATCGGTTTGGCAGAACTCGCCCCACCGATCGTTTACTCCAGATAAACTTCAGCTCATGTTTTGAGTAACAGGTCCAGTGTCAGGGGATTATTCCATAAATAGATGCCATCTGACCAATGCAAATGTTCATTTTGAATTTTTAGTTCCACCAATTACCATGCCCAAAGAGGTTTTCCATAATAACGATAAGTTTGCAAATTGAAATGATAGATTATGGTAATTAATTGACCAGTGGCTATAAATCTCTCGTGTATCGATCACTCGAGCGGATGCGATTGACCATTCGAGTGTAACAATAACGAGCGTCAGCCGTAATAATCGTTAAATTAGAATGTTTATCGGGCGAATGATTGTGTCGGTTATGTGGCGAAGCGATGGATTGTTGGGAATTGTCATTATTCTACGTACATGAGTTGTATATGATGAACAAGCCTGATGACTGGATGGGTGGAGGCAACTCCAATGAGCCCGTTGACACTTTGATGCAGGATACCGCATGTCTCGGGAAATTGCTCCCTCAATAATTCACAGCTCAACGTAATGGAACTTGTCCACGGGCACCGATCTATCATAGCAAATTGCACGTAGCCCTTTTATCGTGTTTCATACTAAACCATACGTGTACGTATACGAGTTGGAAAAAAAAAATAAGAGGCATAATAGTTTACCGGAGAACTCCCTATTACATTCCCATTTTCTTTAATATCTCCTCGTATTTCCGAGAAATTGATCAGACCTTGGGGGACTAATTGACGAGTACAGCGATTATTATCATTTTATCGAGATGTATATGCGTGGAGGAGAGCCGAACAAAATGGCACACTCGCGGAAAAATTTTTTTAACTCATTCCCAGTCATTTCTTTTTAAAAAAAAAATGTTAAAAATCATTTAAATATGTCCCAGTATTTTTTCGAATTAATTTTCTCTTTTATTCACACTATTGTTTTCTCCCATTTTTTATTCGTCAACTCAAAAAATACGCGATTTAATTAGAATCATTAATTTTTTGCTTCTGACTGAAATTCTTTGTATGGGAATTTTTTTTTTATCAGTCAAGCGTAACAAAATTCTGGAAAAGGGGAAATATTGGATAATGGATTGTTAGAATCGATTTTTTCCCCTCGTCTCGCATTGAGCCTCTCGATTCATTCCATTTTATCATGTGTCTTACGTACTCACGTGGAATGAAAGTGAAGGAAAAACTAGTGAGTAAAGAGTAAAATGGAATGGAGTGGAAATGCGTGTGACAAGTGTATTCTCTCAGGCCATAGACACCCATTTTCATCGTATTTTATTTTTTATTTATCAGTGGAATATAAAGGGTGAAGTGGTAGAAGTTGGAATGTACAGACGTATAACTCGTCAAAAGCAAAAGCTCAGAGGCAATCATGAGCTTTCGAATGCAAAACAGCAGCTTTTCCAACGGCACTCGCGGGGGCTTACTTTTACATTTAAATGTAAACTCGGAGAGTGCCGTGGATGGAGGTAAAAGAGGATGAGGCATCAACCGAGACGCGTAACACAGAGATGTGAGAGGTAAATACAAGCCCAATGTTTGGAATTGTATACACACCTCTCACCTCCACGAGCTACACCCCCTCGTATCCATCCTGAAATTCTCCACCTGTATTCAGGCATTCAGCCATCCAGGTCTCCACCTCCAGCACCAATCTCTACCCCTCTTCTATCCTAGCGAGAGCAGAGGCGTTGGGATTTAATATTTTACACCTCAAATGTTGGGTATACGCGAGAAATGCAAAATAGCACCCCCTTTTAGTCGGGATTGGATTTAAAACGCGCTAATTTGTCGAGCTCGCTGCGACACCCACCACCATCCCTCCTTTTTCATCCCCCCCTCTCTCTAACTCACTCTAGGTATATATGTACTCTGGCTTATACGTCTATATAAACTGGACATTCACCCAACCCACAGCCCCAACACACATCTGAATTTAAAATCTCCTTTGCATAATGCCCGAGTCCATGTCGTACCAGTCTAATTGTCTGACTCGTTTGAGCTCTTCACGTCAATCCGCTGTACAGCCATTTTTTTTTATTATTGATAAATTTTCAATGAACACCTCCTTCAGCATCTGAAGACGTGGAATTTTTATTAAAATCGTTTCTGGGAAATTAATTGAATGAAATAAGTCAAGAAATAATTTTTCACGGGCAAATTGTCTTGATAAAATTAGAAATTATTTTCCCCACCTCTCGTGTATTCTAGAATTTTTTATTTGCATAATTCAATATTCCTTTTGTCGAAATACTTTCGTCGTAGACCAATCTCCATAATCCACCTAATTTCAATTTTTTTCTGAATCAAATTTGCGGTGTAATTTTTTCTGCAAAAAATTTTTCAAAATTTTTCTTCAAAACTACAACTCAAGGGATTGTTCATACAATTCCATTATCATTTCAATATTTTTATAACTCGTGGAGGAATAGCCGCTGTCATCGAACAATCCACCAATCTATTGCTTCCGGTTCAATCTCTCACTCTCCCCTAAATTTCTTCGTTACGCGCATTTTCCTCCCCAAAACTATGTATTATATGTATTAAGTATTGTACCCATGAAGGAAAGACTCCGTGTCACAGTGGTTTATGCTAGCTAACCGTTGTACTCAATGTACTATTAAATGCGTCCATTGTGTATCGAATACACATTCATGGCTTTCACAAATTTACTTCCGTAAAACGCTGGAAAAGGTCCATTCCCTCGACTCGGACACTGTTAAAGAAAAAAAAAAAAAATACTCTCGGCACGTGTGCCCCTACGATCGGTGCAGCAAACGCCCTCCCCTTTTACAAATTCGATAGTAATATCATCCCTTTTCTTTATTCCTTCCTTTGGCTAGCTCATCGTTTCTATTTTATCGCTACATCTACGAGGAAAAAAAGCCTCGAAAAAAAGGATAAATGTAAAAACGATGTATCGATGGATCACTGGACTGCAGCTTCCGTATTGATATGCTAAGATGCTCTTGGCCCTCAGCTTTTTTGGCAGAGTTACTTCATACTGAATATTTCCTATTACCCTAAAATTTTAGTAAAACTCACCGCCCCCACGTCGGACCATGATTTATCGTCTCTCCATATTTGATTTTCTTCGATTTATCTAAACCCATGCGTCAGAACTTTTTGGGACCATCAAAGAGAGTCACTGTCCGAAAATTAGACTTGAAATTTGAAACATGAAATTTCGATATTTTTAATGCAGAAAATTCTTCATTAACGAATCTGTTAATTTCATCGATATTCTGGTAATTTTCCATTTTCAGGTTTATACCAATTGAAAACCCGGGAAATTATTGAATATTCAAGCAATTATTTTCTTGAATTTTCGGCCTGGCGAAAATTCAAGTTTTCATGGAAAAATCAATTATGATTTTTCATGAAAACCCAGTAGTCTTAAATTTCCTAGATAAATGAGAAATTTAGTGACAGTTTTGAACTGAAATTCAATTGAAACTCATACAATTGAAAATAAAAATGACTTCGTGACTGGAATTTCCAGAAATTTGGAATACCGCACCCCGAAAAATTGACGGTAATGATTGATAATATTTGGGATATCCACCGGATATAAATGACTACTTTAGCCGTGATTACATTTTGCTTCCTGCGATAACGAAACATCCCTTGCCGCCATTATGTGTATCTAACGTTGAAGTCAGGGTGGAGTAGAAATGGTGAACAATAGCCGAGGACAATTGAGGGACTCCAACCCAACATTTACGAATTAGGCTCGGTTATGCGTTTACTGCGAATACCGGATATGATGTGTATGTATTTCTCGGAATTGAATCGAGTAAAATTTATCCCTCCCATCGTCTAGTCGACGCCGATGCGGAGATGCGAAGTATTAGCATTGGTTAGTTTTATGGACCGTTCAATTCCGCCTGCGAGAATATCGTACGATCAATAAAAGGCGAACGTTTTCCTCCTCTTTCTTTTTTTCCTCCAGCTCTCCATCCTTTTTTCAACTTTCAACCTATAATTAGGGGACACCGAGACAAATATTCCGTGAAAATTACGAATATTTTCCGTAATTCCCGAGCGAAAAATCGGCAAGGAAAACTCTACCCGACAATCCCGGAATTTTTAATAATAAATGATAATCGCGATTAATAATTTTTCATTAATTTTTCATCAACAAAACAATGACGAGCGTTAGAAATTGAGAATGGAACCATTTTTTATGTGAGTCCATATTCCCCCAGCATCCGGTGCTTTAAATAATATTGTGGAATTTTTATAATTTGTTTAAAAAATTTCCAACATGCATTTCGATCACTTCTTTGAATATTCTAATGTGAATAGAGCCACATCCAATGATTCTCGATAAAAAAACAGAATTTCGATGAAAACAAATTTCTCTCGCGGAAAAATCGATTGATTTTTCATCTCCCATTCATCTACCGTGGACTTTTGGCTTTTCCGCGCCTCCAGTTAAGTAGTTTGTTGTGTCACTGGTGGGAGTTGGGTCTCTTGGATTAATTGCTTTATATCGTTGTGTAGTTTTTTCCTTCATAATAGACTTTTCCACGTGATACAGGCACATACGTCAAGCATGTGGGATAGTCTGTGAGTCACATAAACTTTTTTTTTTTTTTCTAACCAAATACTAGAAGAGATCGAGTAACAACTGTAGTTTTTCTGCAATGTGATTTACTCTTAGTGTATCGTTTCCCCGGAATAGGGAGAGGCGGAGAACTGAGAAGAAAAAGCCAAGGTAGTTTTATTTTACAATCCATCGGGTTGAAGTCGTCACGGGAGGGTGAATGTCCCAGGGATGGGGATGGGGTGCCAGTGAAATTTTCTTTACATCCCGCTTTTTGGTTGTGGGTTGAGAAAAAGCTTGAGAGTCTTGCTTGTCAACTAGTGTTTTAAAAGTTTGCGGGTAGACTACAAATTGGCTCGCTCACTTCATTTTAGAAATAGGGTGGCCACTCAACCTGGAAACTGGTAGAAGCCAGAGATCTCTTTAATCACGAATTATTGGGGGGAAAGTGCAATTATTGCTTCTCATTTTTTTTCTCATTTTTTTCTCATTTTTTTCTCATGTTTTATTGCCATTTCTCTCCAAATATATTGACATAGAATTGAAATGAAATTCATTATACAATAACATTATGAAAAGATTAACCTCTTGATTTATTATCGACGTAAACCCTTAGTCTTATAAAATCTTCAACATGATTAGATAAGCACATGTAAAATCACCACATGCTGAGTTCTGTTTGACTTTTTATGATGAGTGATACTATTTATAGAAATTATCAAGCATCCATATTCCCGTGCAAACCATTCATTATAAAATCACCAAAAACACGAATAATCATTACCGAGTAATGAATGTGGTGCTGATTATCACCGGTGCGAGCAATGGGATAATCTCTCATCTGTCTCTTTCCCACAGAGAATAATAACCATAATATGTTAGCTGGGGAAAGAGTGTTTAAAAGTATTTTCGCGTAAAACGTTTTCATTATTCATATTTCTTTAATGTCCCGCATGCTCCACTGATTTTATGCATTTGATACAGACTATTAGCCACGCCTTGATTTATTACAGCTTCAATATTCAATTTTTACGTCGAATCAAGAGGACTTTTTAGAAAAAAAAATAAATTCAGTGTATTGATATTACAAGAAGTCTCGGGATAGGGTAGCCATGATACTCCACTTGTCATCATATTTTATTCGTTCCACAATATAATACAACAGACTCTGAAAAATCATTGTTCGAGGGAAGGGAAAAGGGGATAAATAAGACTCGATTGATCAATTCAATGCGATACAATCAAGATGATAAAAAAAAGCTACTGGAAGAGAGCGGAATTGTCACGAGCCTTGTAGATGCAAAACAGTAATCTAATAACGTTAATTGAAATAATAAATAATTATCAGTTATCCAGTAAATTCATACTACGTCATACTACGTTATATTTTGGTGGTATGTGTAGCTCTGAGTCATGGTTATTGAAATATTGTGCCACGAATGACGGAGTTTTCGGTAAATTCGAGTCCCTCGGGGTTTCTTCTGGTGTGTCGTAGTAAACAATATCAGAATGTCGATGAGGACTAATTGACCAGTCCTCACGTGCCGTAAACACAATCATCCAAAAATATATGGTTATTACTGAAAGTTCATATCCATTAGTAATTATTATCAATCTCAAGAGGTATAAAGAGGTTCACAAGTGAATACTCACGTAAATGAATACTCGAGACTGGTATGTACCACTGGAATTTTTCATTATTGTCGTCAGGGCAAACAAGGTGAAGAGTCAATGCCACTGTCTGATCAACAATGCTGATCATTTGTAGGTACAGCCAAGGAAGAGTATATTTGGGTTTTCTCTGGTGAATAAATCCAAGGATCATCCGATTAATTTTACGGATATTGTGATGAAAACAAGAATTGTATACTTACATGTACAGTACCAAGTGCAAGTAATGTACTAGAGATGAGGAATAGCAGAGAGTATCCCAAGATGCAAATTAAAATAATCTGCTCTGTAACAGAGAGTGCACGAAGCTTTGACTCTTTGTTGTTTGAAAAAGAAAAAAAATCCATTGCGTACGTGATGAATAGAGAATGAATCACTGTACCCATCACTTGTCCTTTTACTTTATATGACACAGTTGTCGTCGATTACGTACCTTGTTTTGGTATTTTATAATTCCTGACGAATTGTGTCCAATGGAGACCCAGCAACGACCAAGTTTCGATAGCCTCGGAGAATTTATGCCCTCCTTCACTCGAAAAAAATTCACTCACCAGTATATTGATCATAAAAATCGATATTGACTGCAAATATCAGAAAATCATTATAAGATTGAATGTCAAATTTTCCGGTACACCATTTTCTCAACTGATACTTTAATTATCATCTATTGTTTCTGTACAATTAGCATACCAGTCCCAATGCTGCTATGATCCTTGCCGCAAGGGTAATACCAATGCCGCATACATGATTCATGATCTCTAATTGGTTTTTTTATTTTTTCAAATCAGTAATTCCAACTTTTTCCTTCCAAACGGAGAAAAATCCAGATCCGTTCGATTGACTCGCACTGTGCGTTACTAAACGTTCACCAATTCGTAATACACTACTCAACACGAATGACTCGAGGACACAGTGATAATGGCTCTAGTAAGAAGTGTAAATACATGGGCCACGCGCAACTGTTGTTATGACAACCGACCTCTCTGTTTTTTTATTATCCAATATTCGGTTATTACTCCCCGATTCATTCCAAATTATTTATAAAAATATATTTCTACTGGATTATTTAATGAAAAAATAGATGCACGCAGAGATTTTCCCAGAGAATTTCCATCTTAAATATATTTATAATTTTTTTTTTTTTATAATTGGGAATAAGAGATAATGTGGAAAACAAATAGGCGAGAATCGGGGAACTGATAATGAATTTCGTTGATTTTTTTGAATAAGTAAAAAAAAAAGTGTGGAGTATAGATGGTGGAGGCGCATGCGCGGATACAGGCCACAGTTGTTACCGCGCAATGTATTCATCACTCACGTGTCCTCGTGTTTTTCTTGTTGGTTTTTGGATAAAGTGATAATTTATCTCACGTCTATACCTATTGTTCCTTAAAAATTTCGTTTCTTTTTGTGTGGTAGTGATGGCAGTGCAGGACATGGATATCTGTCTGAATGTATCCAGTGGAACCGTCAATGATCAAACCTCAAAAGTGAGTTTTAGGTTAAACACTCTCTCCACCCGAATTACACTGAGAAAAAAATATATTCCAGTATTTAGGACAGATATCTCCAGTATCTGTACTAAATACAAGAAAATATATTTGGTATTGACATCTTTTATGGAAGTATTTATGTTAATTCATTAAGAAATAAATATATTTGGCAAAAGAATTTTTTTTTCTCAGTGTAATTCTGGTATAGTATTTTTTTTACTCTATGACAATGATTTATATGTAGGGTTCGAGTAAAAAATCAAAATTTTTCAAGCCACACATTACACGGCTCAGTAAAGCGAAATTAACTGATAATAATTCGCAAGTGAAAACGAATGTGAATGACAGACAGTCGGGAATTTCGAATCCACGGAAGAGAATTAAGCAAAAGTCACTGGCACTGATTGTTGCACAAAATCGGAATAAAGTTAATCAGTCAAACCCGAAAGTTGAGAAACTTGAAGAGGAAAATGGGGTTAAGACACGTGAATTGAAGAGACCAGTTGTTACATTCGCCAAACCATCGGAGACTGGGTTGAAAACAATTCTAGCTAAACCGAGACAATTAAACAGTTCGGGAAAATCATTGGCTGATATTTTTGCAAAATCGAGTAGTGATGGGACGTCAGGAAAGGGGAATGATGATTCGGGTAAATCTCTGGCTGAGATTTTTGCAAAGAAAAATAATGCAGGTGATAAACAGGGAGATACACAAGTACATAAATTGAAATTTCTGGACCGAGAGAGGGGAAAGAAAAGCAAAAAGTTGAATCAAGTGAAGGACGTGGCATCAACTCCAGATGAAAAACCAAATAGAACGTTCAGTCACTCTGGAAAAGTCTCTTCCCTATTCGGAAACAATCCAGATGTGCCAACTATTGGACAAAGGCTAGTTAAACCTGTTCAAGAGACTGTCTTCAGTAAAACAAAGTTCAGTGATCTTGAGATTCATCCGTTCATGGTCTCCAATTTGGAACAGAATATGAATATCAGTAACATGACGACTGTTCAGCAGAAAGCTATCCCCGAGATTTTTACCGGAAAGGATATTCTGGTGAGATCTCAAACAGGCTCTGGAAAAACTCTGGCTTATGCACTTCCTATTGTCGAATTATTGCATAAAATTAGGCCAAAGCTGAAGAGGGACGATGGAATAAGAGCATTAATTGTTGTGCCTACTAGAGAATTAGCACTGCAGACTTATGAATGTTTTTTGAAACTCATCAAGCCTTTTACATGGATCGTACCTGGTTACTTGGTTGGCGGAGAAAAGCGAAAAGCCGAGAAGGCTAGATTGAGACGTGGTTGCACAATATTAATCGCAACGCCTGGCAGATTATTAGATCATATCAAGCACACGGAAGCCTTGAAACTCACCAATGTCAAATGTTTCGTTTTGGATGAGGCTGATCGAATGCTTGACATGGGATACGAAAGAGATATATCAGGGTAAGTGTATCAAATTGTTCAAATTGAGATTGTAATTCCATTCTGCAAATGATATGGAATTCATATTTATCATTGCAGTATCGTTTCTGCGTTAAAAGTAAAGGAATCGGATAGTGTGTCCTCCAATTATGATCCTCTGAGCATGCTACGGCAAAATCGAAAGATCGTCTTCAACGATGATGATCCCGAAAAGGACGAAAAATCCGTTGACGAAGATGAAATCAAAGAAGCAGAAGAGCCGAAGAGGCAGTATCATTCAGAAAGTGATAGTGAAACGGAAAGCCAAGAGTTTTCCGTTAAAGAAAAAAAACTTTCAGAGATGCCACAAAAACCTGACGAATCTCACCAGCAGACCAGCAAAGAGATCGCATCTGGTAGACAAACTATTCTACTATCAGCAACTTTGACGAATGCCGTGGAAAAATTAGCTGGTCTCACCATGACCAGCCCCACCCTCATCGACGCTGCTGAAGAAAATTTACGAAAAGCTGGTGGAAGTCTAACTGAGATCAATGATGACCTCGTGGTGCCTCAAGGTGTTATACAAAATTATATTGTTACTCCACCAAAATTACGAATGGTCACTCTCTGTGCGTACATTGCTGCGAGATGTCAGACCCCAGGACAGCACAAGATTCTCATTTTCATGGCTACCCAAGACATGATTGATTTTTACGGAGAAATATTGCCCTTGATATTGAAAAAACCGACGAATGACGAGGATGAGGACTCTGACCCTCTAGTTGACGTTGAATTTTTCAAACTGCATGGGAGTATGTCGCAAAAGGAAAGAACAGATATATTCAAAACGTTCAGACAGGCCCACAGCGGTGTTCTACTCTGTACGGTGAGTTTTCTAAACAATTTATTTACGCAAAATGTCAAATTTCCCTCTCCGCATTTTCCTTTCATTCAACATCGAAACAATCACGCAATGCACAGGAATTCAACTCAGCCTATCAAGACAGAACTTGTTCCCTTGTTATTAATAACTTGGATATGTGCTTCACTCGTGTATTATTAGCGAGAGACATGGTGCTACGGCGTTGCCTCTTCAGACTTGATCTATAGAGCAAGTGAGATGTTTTGAACGGCTATTCGTTACTGATCCATGGAGATGCCGCCCTACCGCTAAAGAATTCTTTCTTTTAATCGCACTCATCAATTGCCGTCACTTTTTGTCGGCACTGAAATTCAGTGGCACATTCTCTCTCCATCAACAATTTTTTTTTAACCCTGAAAACAACGATCCAATAATTTTTCACCATAAAAATTATATTCAAAGATGAATGGCGGAGGAAATAAAAATAAACGATTAAAAATGATAGGCTGGCGCCAAAATTCCAGTTCGCACGCGCCGGTAATAGGCCTCCCTCATCGAATTAAATTATTCGTAGGTGTACAATATATGGTATGAAAGAATAGTAGAGAGCTCATTGATGTATAATGGTTTCGTGAAAGAATTTTCTTATTCGCCAGTGGGTCCTCGCCCCCCACTGTTGCCCAGTAGATTTCTCGGGCCATCAACTTTAAAACAGCTCAGTATAATATCGTGACATTAAATCATGGCTAGCCAAACATAGAGTGCTTGAAGGACGATGTTTCAGTATCAAACGTTCACCGCTGGGGTCCCCAGCGGGCATCACATAGGCCCCCACTGGGTCTATCGTCATCACAAAACGAGAAGTTGACTCGGTTTTGTAAAACATTTGTACCGCCGTGCTTTTTCGATGAAAATAATTATTGAATTAATACTGGATCGGTGTAATTTGTATTATATCCAGTTAATCGATTGCTCTTCCGGAATGAATTAATTGATTTTGGTAACCATAGGACGTTGCTGCGCGCGGATTGGACATGCCGAAAGTCGATACTGTGGTGCAATACACTGGCCCATTATCGGCAAGAGACTACGTTCACAGAATTGGTAGAACAGCACGTGCTGGCACCTCAGGGAATGCAATAATATTCCTCACACCCCCGGAAATTGAATTCGTAAGGGCTTTGGAGTCTCGCAGGATACGAATCAAGCAGGTGGACATGAAAGACGTTTTGGACAAATTGATTGGTCCATTCTCCAAGCATTTGTCTGTCGAAGCGACCGCCACTGAGTTGCAGAATAGATTTGAGAATCTCGTCATCGATGATAAAAAATTTCACAATATGGCCTGTAGAGGTGAGTTATTCTATAAATGGATTCATCAATTTTCCTATTAGATTAGATTTAATGAAGTGTTGCTAAGAGGGCCTGATTTCGTTTGGCAGTAATAAAAATACGGTAATTTCAGAGGGTAGCGAGAAACCAAGTGTACATTTTTTTTTATGTCGCTCCCCTGTATATTAAGTCATTCCCCATACTCGGTGGTTTATCTACTGGGGGAGAAATAGAGAGGAAGTTCTCTTTCAGGTCTTGTAAGGATATTTACATAGTGTATGAGGAGGGATGATCTTATTTGTCAAGCTATGGTTACTCTATTAGGGATGTTATGGGGAGAAATTTATTTGCTGCAATAATATCGTGTTAGTGATTATTCAACTGGTCTTTTTAATTTTTCTATCCATTATTGTTAGTGCTGATTTTTTTCACACTGGCTGGAAAAGAAGAAAATAAAGAGCTATACTTTTTCAGTGGTTAGCCAGCCCCTCTCGGAGTGACGGTACATGGCTAACCACTTGACCGTTCTTTGCTACAGCTGCATGCCAAGTCATTGATTGATTAATTGTTGCCAGTCAGAATCAAAGTTTAATAAAATCGAGAAACTAGAATTTTTTCAATAATGGCACTGAATGCAATTGAATATTTAAAATGTCTTTTTTTTTTCAACTTTTGAATTTGTCAATGAAGAGTTGAATTAAAAAATCTAGTTCTCGAACAGTATATTATGAAAATTGCAATGGGCGTTAGTGGTGATGAGTTAGATTGAATCTGGAATGCCTAGCACGAGCGTCTTTTAGCTAGGGTTATGGGTGGTGGGAGCTGCGGGGGCTCTCGACAACAATCCAAGCACTGAATGTGGCTTCCGCCGAAACCACTTACGCTTTGTGGCTAGAGTGTCTTAACAATACGATACAGGATACAAATACAATAAGACGCAGTTACATCACTTAGGAACAATACTCAACCACCCCCACATCACTCTCACCGGAGTCTCTCGTCACCGCCTTTTCAAAATTTATGTGTTAAATGGAGAAAAACATTTCTTCCTTTCTTCCTTTTTTCCTTTCTCCCCCTTCTCCTTCTCCCCATTCTCCTCTCTCCGTATTATTTTTTCTCAGTGAAAATTTATTTTATTCCACCCCCTTATAATCTCATCACCCCCTGTTTCAGCGTATGTCTCCTGGATGCGGTTCTACTCTAGCTATCCTCGGGACATGAGGGAGATATTCAACCGTAAAGATCTTCATCTCGGTCACTATGCAAAGAGCTTTGCCCTGCGTGATCCACCGAAAAGGATTGGCGGTATCGGTAAAACACTCCGGGAAAATAATCCATCGAGAGTTGTCCACAACAACAGATTGTCCAACGAACGGTGAGTGATACTAAATGCTACTAAACACATGTAAAAGATTTATTGTTTGGTGGATTTAGTGGTATTAATGAAGGATTCACGGGTGGCTTGTTGTCACAAATGTCCACTAGAGACATGAAAACCCATTGCTCTCATCGCGGTAGTTAGTCGTCACTCTGTGACGAGGAGATTCCACCAAGCGAGTATGATGTGTCATGCTGAGGCATACGCATCGTGTCTCCACGTTACGCATTGCATTTCATGGGCATGTATAGACTCGTATCCCACCTGTCCAATTCCTACCGCAATTCTGCGCTGGTTTCACTGGCATTGTTCATAATTATACAATACGCCTATTAAACAGACTGATGCGACCACCATTTCCGGTTAATGGACAATTCCGAATATTTACGCGAGTTGCTATGGCACATGACAATTGTCTCTTAACAGACTCGAGAATTATTTTATTATCCCTTCATCCGCGCTTCTTACGCTTTTCAAATTTCCGCATTTTTCAGGAACAAAAAATTCATTGATTTAACTTCAAATGTTCAAATTGAATCGGGAAAAGAAAATGTTTATTGCTCCTGCTACGAAAGTACCTGACCATCCGGTCAGAATGACCTCCGGTCACCGTCACAGAGTAATTCATCTCGAAATTTCCCCAGAATTTCAGTCTTCATGTTGAATAATAATTGATTTTCCAATAAAAGATTAAATTTCCATGCCCATCGTAAAAATTCAACATTAAATGCAATTGAATTTTCCACAGAGGGAAAATTCAAGAAATATATTAAATGAATTTTCAATTGTTATTTTTCAATAGTGGATTATCGTATTAATTTAATATCTCAAAAATTGACCCAGTTGACTACGATCTGAGTAAGCGTGTTGAGATATTATGAAAAAAATAAATAAAAAGTGAAACGTGGATGATGGGAAGGAGAGAGAATTCGGCACGGCCGTTCAAGTCACGCTCTGCTCACCGCTATAATCTCACTTTAAAGCGAATCATTTTTTTGTCAATTTCTCATTATAATGGCTGTCCTCACCGGGACACAGCCATCGTATAACGAGTGGACCACATGTCGTTTGCATCCCATTAACGAAAATCTCTGTATGGATATTAATATTGATTGTTCTTTCTTCGTTCTTTATTTTTCCAGAGTGGAAAAAGTGAGGAAGCAACAATCAGGACAGCCTAGTGGTCACAAGCCAGGCATGCTGAAGAGATCTAGAATACTCAATGTGTCCGAATATGGAGACGGTTTAGAGCCCATTAAAAAAATTAGAAAAAAATAGTAAGGGTGACACAAAGGGTTTTATCAAATTTCCGTGGAGATTCCAATAATTCTTGGAAATGTCTCATTTTATTCAGCCGGGTGTGAATGAGAAAGTGAGGAGAGAGCATTGAATAAAGATGATGTATGCGGCGGATTCAGTTGACTGGAGTTATCGCTGATTTCCATTCGCCGGTGTTTCCCAGTTTCCCCAAGAGGTCATACAAAAACCCGGAAAAATCTATAATTCAGAAGAGATTGATTAATTTAGCGTGTGGATGAAGGTACGGATGGAATTGGAGCATGAGTGAGTAGATGAGATTTATTTCATTCAATTATTGGAGTTTACTCCATTGTGTGTATGAATAGATATCGTGACTGCATAAAATTCCTTCGGAAAAAATATCTTGGATAAATAATGTCGAGATAGACAACATTCTGAATGATTCATTTAAATTATAATTGAACATTTCTGGAATTCATTCATCTCATTTAATTGTTTAATTCAATTTTTTCAATAATTTTTCTTCCAAAGTAAAATTGCCGAAGGATTTTTCAGCGATGATTTGCTAATTTTCTGTTGAAAACATTGTCCATTATTTTATCAACAAGTTTTCACTGATGGCCATTGTACGATGATAATGACATGAAGTGGGTTTGAATTAGCATTTTACGGTTGGTCTGAAAACGTTTTATAGGACTATCGTGCAGACAAGCCATAGACTCGACTGCCGGTTCATACACAGCTCTCATATCTCTCGTTATTTTTCACGTATACCGCTATGAATATTACACCTTGAAGGATGGATTAGAAGCGCCTTTCAGCGTTTCATATCCAATGATAATCCCATTCTCATCACCAGTTACTTAACGCGCCAGTCTAATGAAGACATAGTGCATCCCTTCACTCAATATCACATATTAAATTTTATTTTTTTTATTTTCTCCTATTCACGGTATAAATTCTACTGGTGTTCTCATGCCATTACGTGAATCCCGGTTGTCGCTAATGTTTTTCTTGCTCATATTCAGTCGAATGTAGAAGTAAAGCAACTATCTTCCACCGGAACAGCACTAATGCTTGAAATATCGCAGATTACTTAACTGCACATTATAATTGACACGCTTGGTGCGTAAACTTTCCCAGGTGAAAAGTGAGAGCTCATGTATGTTTGTAATCGCGAGTCTTGTCTGTGGATGTCATTATAATCGTACCATTTCCGCGAAATAACAATGGCGTGCACATAAGAGTCATCTCTTCCCTCAAAAACTCATTTATCAATTTTATTCTTCATTGTAACATTGAAAATCAATGATGCATTGATTCAACATTATTTAATTATTCATATTATTATTCTTCCGACTGAAATATCCGCAAATAGAATTGCCCCATGAGACAAAACTTATCGTGGGGTTAATTTCACTGGATAATTTTTTTTTCTTTCAATAACATGTAGGCTGTACCATGTGACGACGAATGGTGCAATTCTATTGGTTGAAATTTGGACGGAAAGAATAATCACTTCTAAAGCACCGCGAATATACGTACCAGAACAATTAACCGGGTGCAATTAAGACATCTAAATTAATTCGTTATGAAGCACCGTCGGATTGCGATCTGAATGGGCGACTCGTAATTGCTCGGGTTCTCACAAAGTCCGACGTTACATTACATAGTCCGTCTCTCACTAACTCTCATTTGCACTAAATTCCCGTGTGCACACGCTAATCGCACTGTATGCACACATACTTATCCATGTGGTGTAAAAGTACTCGCGTTCTTACGCCCGGTAATAGCAACAATTACTTTATTTTACCCATCTTCCCGGTTCTCAAACCGAGCACCTCGGCAATTTCATTTCCTCGGGCATTAATCAACACCGCGATCTCCGGTTTGTTTTGAGAAATTCTCACTTTCTTTTTCTCGCCGATGGAGTAGTCATAAAGGGGAGGAAAGATCTTGCACGGGGAGAAATATTCCGGAGAAAATTACCTGGTCTACCAGTAAATGTGGGATATTTCACAAAAAATTATTGGAGTCGCGGAATTAATTTTTCTCTGGAGTTCATTCAATGTCCGGATTTTTCTTTCGGGAAGCATTTGATTGGTTCGGTCGTGTGAGCTCATTGTACGCAGTAAATTCAATTTTACTGGACTGAGCATTAATATTTGGGGTGATTACGTATCATTTTTTGATGGAAATTTCTCTCTATATTTATTGCTACTTCATTCCTTCTGAGGGTACAAGTTAATCTTATATATTATCCATGAAAAATCGCTTCGTGATGTGAATGAAAAAAAAAGGAAAAATAATTCTTCGCACCTTTTATTTCCCCCGGTGGTTTTCCAGTCTTTCGAAAATAAATCATCGCGAAATTACTTTGAAATGCAGCTCATAAAAAATAACTGCACCAATGATTCGCGAGTATTTCATCCCTTTCTTGTTGGTGTTCTTCATTTGCAATCTCTTTGAAGAGGTCTTGAATTACATCGTTGAAAAAATTTTCTGATACTTGTATTGAATCACTCACACCTCAGTTCACCCGCGAGATGAATTTCGTTTTGATTTCATACGATCACGTCGTCACATCTCAAATAAAATTCAAATTCACTCGGTTTTTTTTTCTCTGTATAAAAAATTGTCTGATGCGTCAATAATATTGGTTATAACTTTACGATCAAGCTTGCGCCACCAATCTTGTATTTAGCCAATCGGCAATGTGATTTCTGGTTGGTACGTCAAGTTGAGAGTAAAAAAAATATATTTACATATCTCCATAGAGGGGAGAAAGAGAGAGAGAGAGAGTGAGAGAGTAAACGAGTCAGGAGTGAGTGAGTGAGAAAAAAGATGGAGGAGGGGTTTCGAAAATTATTCCGATATGAAACTCATCCCGGCGTGTTGGCGTCAAAGGAGCCAATTTAAAAAGCCCCTCCAAGATTATCAGCTTCTCCCTCCCTGTCTTCTTCGCCTCTTTCCCTTTCTCCCAGTTCTCTGTTGTCGGCCCTCGTCGTGCGCTTCGTTGCGGCAATTTAAAAAAAAAAAACAGCCAAACTGGTCGAATTGGTAAACTTGCTGGTAATTTATCCGAGCGATCCCTTTTCTCGCCGTTAAATCGTATCTTGTATTTTTCTATTTCTCACTTCACCCTCATTTATTTGTTTGTTCATTCCTCTGGGCTGACAGTAAAAGTAAATTTTTACGTGTTTCAACTCCAGAAGACTTACACTTCTCGAAAGAAAAGGGGAAGGGAGGATGGATAAAAAAAATTAAATGAAAATTGCGGTTGTTTATAGGACTTTTGGCGCGCAAGGTGAGCACGTGAGGCATTTGTAAATATATAATTTAATTAAGTGCCTCCGAGGTATTGTTAACGGCCCCTTTACGAGAGACAGGCCCGATGACGGCTCCTCTTGTGCCTCACGTGATTCCAAACTTGTGGCCTTTTTTTATCTCTCTTCAGCCTTTTGAGAAAGATACGAGGCACGCGATCACACATGTCGACAGATGTTTGAATCGAAGCATTCAACACCAATCGGCATGTGTTATTATCTGTACCATTAACACCCGTCAATTGGCTAGAAAATTTTCTCACCTATTGACAAAATATCTCCAATTATCATTTGAACGGTTATCATAATTTCATAGCCAACCGGCGTCTTCTGTGGTCTTTGAAAATTACTCTCAACAACAAAATGGCACACTTCAATTTCAATCGCTCATTTTTTGCTTCCACCTGTGAAATTCCTTATATGGAAATTTTCCCTTTTTTTCTAAATTTTTCTATTTAAATTTTTCAAAACTTTTCGCAAAAATAAAATTTTGTTTTCCAATTTTTTTTGTTTCATAAAAAAAAAATCTGAAAAGTTTTCCCGAAATTTTTGAAACATTTTGCAAAAATAAAATTTTGTTTTCCATTCTTTTTTGTTTCATAAAAAAAAAATTCTGAAAAGTTTTCCCAAAATTTTTGAAAAATTTGGAAAAAA